CCAAAATACCCCTAATCTGACGGCCAACGTTCGTTCTAGCCCAATAATTGATGGGCAAAATGGTCATTAGGTCCAATAATACAGCTGATAATCCATATTTAACTACCCCAAAAATTTTCCCAAAATTCGGAACTGAAAACGGCCCAGGGGCAAAACCGTCATTTTTCCGATCCCGGGGCGAAGTTCCATTTTTCGCCCGTATCAATCTTCTATGTGCGTGGACAACATAATATGGCGTCGGAATCTCGAAATTCATCGCGCAAGCCCTCGAAAATCGACTGCAAAGTTTCGGGAATAAAATAATATTATTTTTCCAATTTCTGTCGAAATTCCAATTTTTGGCCATAACGACTCCTGGTATGCGTGGCCACCCAAAAATGGTGTTGGCCTCGAAAAGCAACGCTGGCGTCCCGAGGGGCAAAATCGTAATTTTTCACCCCCGGACCGAAATTCCAATTTTTACTCGTACTAACTCCAAACGTGTATGGCCAACGTGATATGATGTCAGATTCCCAAAAATAGTCTCTTAAGCCTTCGAAAATCGGCATCGAAATCCGAGCCCAATTCCGTGAACAAAACTCGCTAAACTTTCAATTTCAGGGTCTCTCACTAACGGGCGGCTGTTTAGAGGTCACGTGTATCGACCTAGGGTTATCCGAGTCATAACGGTCCAATCATTGAGAGAATGAGAAATTATCACTAGTCCCAGAGGTCACGATCGTTCGAATTAAGTTCAGGACTGGTTGGCCACGTGCACTCTCGATCGTGCAGAATCACCTGCGATCCGATTGTACATCGTTGGCCTTGGCCAAACCAAATCCATCACCCTTTCCTACATCGGCCCACGTTGGTCCAAAATATTCCCTCAGCGTCTCTCGTGATCGGTGTCCGTTTCACAATAGGGTCCCCGATCCACGTACCATTTTCTAGTTAGCCATACCCTATTGGTTAGTATCCCGAGAGTGATCAGCTCCGGGCGAGACTTACTAAAATGAAATGCGAATTAATATCAGTTTTATTGATCCCGGAATTACATCGAAATTCGGGCTGTTACACAGCATAATGAACTGTACGAAGAGTCGCTACAAATTGACTGACAAGATAAATAGCATGAGCGATATCAGGACGAGTGGTCGTAAGGTAGAGAAGACTACCAACAAGAGCCCTATAGCGAGTGACATCAGACAGAGGCTCACCATGATCCGAACAAAGCTGTAAATGAAGTTCAACAGGAGTAGCCGTGGTACGATTATCAGATAACTCATCACGAGCGAGAATGTCAGTGATGTACTTCTGCTAGGAGAGAAGAATACCACATCGACTACGAGCAACCTCAATATCGAGAAAATAGTGTAAGAAACCCAGATCCTTCATGGCAAATTGATGGTGAAGATGTTGCTTAGTATAAGCAATATGAATAGAGTCATCCCCAGTAATAATCATATCATCAACATAGATAAGCAGAATAGTACAACCGGCAGGAGAAGTGTGAGTAAGCATAGCATGATCATTTTCACAACAACATCTGCAAAACGCTCAAACCAAGCTCGAGGAGCCTGTTTGAGATCATAAAGGGCCCGACGAAGACGACAAACTTGACTAGGAGAATGAGCAAGACCAGGAGGTGGCTGCATATAAAGTTCCCCATGAATGGCCCCATGAAGAAAAGCATTCTTCACATCAAGCTGAAATAGAGACCAATTACGAACAGAGGCTATTGCAAGAATAGTGCGAACAAAAGTCATTTTGGCAACAGGAGCAAAGGTCTCCTCATAATCAATCCCATACTCCTGATCAAAATCTCGTGCGATGAGACACGCTTTACATCGCTCAATACTACCATCAGAGCGAGTCTTTTATTTATAGATCTAGTGACAAGATATCAAGGACTTCCCTAGTGGAAGAGGCACAAGGTCTCATGTACCAATGCGCTCAAGAGCAGACAACTCCTCAGATATAGCGTCAAGCCACTCGGCATGACGTACTGCCATACAATAATGTGATGGTTCCTGCAAAGTGTGGACAGCAACCATAAGAGAACCAAACTCATCAGAATAACTCATAACCGCCACATACCTAGCCGGAGGACGGCGATCCCGCGGAGGGTTTTGTCAAGGGGACGGTGGGCGAGAATCGTCAAGAGGCGTCGAAGTGGCAAGTGAAGTAGATGAAGGAGGAGGCATAATAGGAGAATGTGGTGATACTAGGTCAGACAGATAAGACATAAGAGGAGGATCATGAGGTGAATCAAGAGGAAAATTAATAAAAACAGATGGAGATGACTGTGAAGAATTGGAAGAGGCGGAAAAGAACGGTAGGTGCTCAAAGAACTGAATAATACGAGAGATACGAATACGTCGTGAAGAGGGATCATAATACCTATAGCCTTTATGTTTTGTGCTGTAGCCTAAGAAAGCACGCCGAACTGACTTGGCGGAAAGTTTGGCGTGCTCATGGGAAGAAAGAAGTACATAACACGTACAACCAAAAACACGAAGGTGGTGATAAGTGGATGGTTTCGAGAAGAGACGTTGGTAAGAGGTGGCTTTGGAGAGGACAAGAGAAGAAAGTCGATTTATGAGATAAACTGCAGTAGAGAGTGCTTCAGCTCAAAATTTAGGAGGAACAGAATTAGACAACAGAAGAGCACGAGTAATATCCAAAATATGACGGTGTTTTCGCTCAGCAAAACCATTTTGAGCAGAAACACTAGGATAGGACAACTGAGGTAGGGTTTCCTAAGAAGTTAAGAAAGAACAAAAAGCTGTAGAGAGATACTCCTCACCCGAATCAGAACGAAAAACTTTAAAAGTTTTAAAGAATTGAGTTGAAATCATGGTTGTAAAGTTTTTATAGATAGAGAGAAATTCATCACGAGAACGCATGAAATAAATCTAGATATAACGAGAATAATCATCGATAAACGATACATAATATTTAAAACCACTTCTAGAAATGTGGGGGGCAGGACCCCAAACATCTGAATATACTAAATCAAAATAGGCATTAGAAACAGAAGAGCTACCAGGAAAATGAGATGCAGATTATTTAGCTAAAGGGCAACCAGTACGAGGACGCATAACAGATGATGGAACAAGCCCAAGTACACCTTGCTAACGTAGAAAAGACAAACGAGATGCAGATATATGACCTAGACGCTGGTGCCAACGGTCAAGGTCGAAGATGGCAAGAACAGGTTGAGGTGAGGGAAGTTGAAGATGCTACATCGTATACAATCCTCCATGTCTCCTACCCTGCCAATCATCCGGCCACTTGTACATTCCTGCACAACACAAGAATTAGCGGTAAATGTCACAATATAACCCATATCAAAAAGTTTCCCAATAGATAAAAGATTAAGAGCTAAATTCGGTATATGCAACACATTAGGCATATAAAAACTGCAAGGGATAGTAAGGTGGCCATGCACAGTGGTAGTAAGAGAGGATTCATCATCTATAAAGAACCCTTCTGGATTTTTAAGTGTAGTCTATTGAGTGAGATGCTGAGCAGAGGCAGTCATGTGGTGAGCAGCACTAGAGTCAAGAATCCAGGAGGAATTATCACCTGAGGATTGCGCAGCAGTTGTAGTAGCAATAGAGGAAGATGCCCCATACAAACCAAGATGGAGCTCAGCCAAACTAGAAAGCTAAGCCTCAATAATAGCAAGACGATCATTCGAAGATGAGGATGAAGTGGCATGGTCTACAGATGCAGAACGGGCAGGTGCAACCGAGCATGAAGATCCATCAGAAAGATCACGCAACTTCTGAAAACATCGATCCTCAGAATGTCCATTTTGTTTGCAGTAGTTACAAAAAGGACATGAACCTCGTTGAGAAGAGGTGCGCTGAGATGAGCGATGTTGGGAACCATGCCGAGAGGAGCTGGACTGGAAAACAGGCTGTGCGGTGGCAAGTACTGCAAAGGGATCTAGAGATGGAGGAGCACCAAGAATTTCTTATCTAATTTCCTCAGCTTGAAGTTCCTTGACTACATCAGAAAGAGATGGAGCAGGATAACGATAGAGAATCTGACTACGAATTCTCTCAAAATCTAGTGAGAGTTGCATCAACAATTCATATAGACGATACTTGTTCTAATCTTCAAGCTTAGATGCAGCAGCACAAGCAGTGCAACCAGAACACGTGGGACATGCTAAACGAGCCAACACATCAAGTTGAGACCAAAGAGACGTCATATAATTATAAAAATCACGAACAGATTGTGTATCCTGGGTGGCATGACAAAGTTCCTACATAAGTTGATAAATAACAACAAAACCTTTTTGTGTATACATCTCAGCAATCTGATCCCATAACTGTTTCGCACCAACAATTTGAGAAAATTATGGGTGAAGATCAAGGCTAATAGAACCAAATAAAATTACCCATGCTTTCCTATAGCAGCATGCCAAGACTTAATTTCATATTGATGTTGAGCAATTTGATCAGCACTAGGTCTGGGCTCAGCAATATTGGACAAAGATGTAGGAAAAGGACCAGTACCATCAACATGCTCATAGAAATCACGATAAACAAGAGCAACCATCACATAAGGTTTCCAAATAATATAGTTGGAACCATCCAACTTAACATCAATGCGATCACTACTATCTGCCATGATTCTGAGATTGATAAATCAAAGCGAAAGCAATAAGATATATGAGTGAAGGAGACAAAACCCGAGGTCAATCGCAAGAACGAGGAGAAAGAAGAAGCAGACTAGATCGATCGAGACAAAGCCGAAGGAGTTCGTATCATGATGAAGACGTCAGACGGATGGCAAAGTTGGCGCGATGAAGACAACGTCGGATGGCTACAGTGAAAAAAAAAATATTTCTTACAAGAAGCGAAACCCTAGCTCTAATACCATGATAGGTTTGGAGAATTGGAATGGATACGTTTCTCATCAGGCACAAGACCAATATATAGATATAAGGAAGGGTATAAGCGTAAATACATACAACTCTAAGATATACAATATAACCTAATAAATACAATATATCTAACAATCCTATCACTAAGCTGACCATCCATCTTGAATCCACATGAAACTTTCCAAGATCAAGAGATATCTAGCAGAATTTCCATTTATTCGATTCAATATAACTCGTATAGTCCTATAAGCCTTTTGTTGCACACATCGACAGTAGGTCGGGATCCCAAGAGCTGCATATCCGGAACATCAGGAGCATGCCTAGTTCATGGAGATCTCTCTGCCTCATCATAGCGGTCTGGACAAGGGACTCAAACTTCTGCAGGCAAATCCCCGTAGACATCTTCAATGCGACCGTTATGCCTCTTTTATACTTCAAAGGACCCCCGAAAGTTACAGAATCGATTCACTTGGATGTCTTGAGCGACTGAGGCAACTCTTCCAATATTACCTCTCGAGAGTTGGAATTAGCTCCAGTTGATACTATGTGAAATGATACTGCTTATACATTGAAAGCTGAAAATTTTTTAGCCTCAAAAAATGTTTCCTTCACCTGGAGATATACCTTTTGTGATTTCTCATTCTACTTTCTAGCACTGAAACGTGATATAAGCTGAATGGCCGTGTAAGTTCAAAAGACCAGGCACACTAAAGCTGTGTAATTCTGATCAATGCATCAACTGTCAGTTGTATAGTCAACTACTTGTGCTTGAATTTCTGAAAAAACTTGGTACACACAGCAAGGAGGAAAAACCGTGAACATACTTTCTCTGCAGAAAAATTCCTGAGGAATTACAACTTGCTGCTACCTTGGACCTGAAAGCTGAACCGCCGCAAGTATTGTGTCGCTATTGTCTTCTGGCTTGAAAAAGCTTGGAAAGAATCGAGAACCTTGCTGAGAGGAAGTCAGCGGCCGAGGAACAGGACAGACACCTTCAAGCATTTGGATGACTTTAAACATCGACGGTCTCAGGTTCATATCTTCTTGTATGCACGCCGACGCAACTTTAATAGCAATAGAAACTGCCTCGTCTCTTTCATCGATCTCAAGACCCGGATCAAGTATCTCTCTCAGCTTCCCTTCTTCCATCATCTTGAGAGCATAGAGGGGGAAATAGGATTTCTCCGATGTTTCCTCAGGGTTGTAGTTCCTTCTCCCGCCGATTATTTCAAACAGAACCTTCCCATAACTGTACACATCACTCATCTCAGATATGGCATGATTGGTTATCCACTCTGGCGCGAGATAACCTCTCGTGCCTCTGATTGTCGTAACAAAACGGCTCTGCTCTCTCGTCATTAGCTTAGCCAATCCGAAATCCGAAACTTTGGCACAGAAATTATCATCCAAAAGCACGTTTTCTGGCTTTATATCACAGTGAACAATTTTCATGTCACAATCTTCATGTAAGTAGGCCAGTCCTTTCGCCATTCCAATCGCAATTTTATATCGTGTTCCCCAATCTAACATGCTTTGCTTGTCTTTGTTAAAGATCCATTTATCGAGAGACCCTTTCGCCATGTACTCGTATGCTAGAAGCCGGTGTGTTCCTTCCTCACAAAAGCCCTTCAGCCTGACCAAGTGGTGATGATGGATGCTTCCGATGCTGCATACTTCAGCTCGAAACTCTTTATTTCCCTGACCAACGCCTTCCAATTTTTTTACAGCCAATCTTGTCCCATCTGGTAGGACACCTTGGTATACCGTCCCGAACCCGCCTTGCCCTAGCTTCCTGGAAAAGTTATAAGTTGCCTCTTGAAGCTCTTTATAGCTGAAACGAACTGGCATTCCTGATAAACTTTCGAGAAAGTTTTCAGGCATTGTCGGCTTTGCCTTAAAAAATCTGAATCCAGCATAAATCAGACTGAGACCAACCAAGAATGTGGAAACAGAAAACAGGACAAGATATGACCAACGTTTCTTGCTGCGTCCGTTGTCTTGAGAATTCCCGCCATTTGTACCACCACCAGTGAGCACCTTAATGTAAGAGACAAATCCAGAATTCTGGTCGGAGCTCTGCAAGGCCCCAATACTGTCAAACAAGTAACAATCTCCAGAACTATTCTGATAAAATAATGCGAGACATGAACAATTATTCTGGCAAGAGGCCTTGCATCTGTGGAGATCAGCATTCAGTGACGGGGAGCGAAACGCAAGCGCAAAGTAGCCAATTCCCTCCCCTGCCTCAATGAGATCGACTGAGGCCTTTGAGTGGTCGCAAGGAGAACCCAGCCCCGAACCACAATCTGGATGAGAATTGAAGGCTGGGAGACACCGGCAGATGTTACTGTTAGAACAGACTAAATACGGGTCGCAAGGCTCTGGTGTACTGCATGCATCACTGGGTATTTTCTCGGGAGAATAATCAGGCATTCCTCCACTGCCCAAGCTGGAGAACGAGATGATCCCGTCTGTTCCCAGGACGGCGATCCAAGTGGCATTAGGTTTGCTATCATCTGAAAAGGGGAATTGCCACAGCAAAGTCCTGCTCTCATCGTAGAATCTCCACGAATTCGCAACCATCGTGGCCAAGACTACTTGACCGCCGTTTCGGTTCTTCAGATGTCTGCTGTCCTTCCCCATCGACCAGTATGGTTGAGGCGTTATATAACCAGCAGAAAGGATCATATCGCCAGATTTAATCTCGAGAGTGTAGGTCAAGTTCTTGGACCCGGGGCTCATGAGCCTCATCCCTTGCGTAAAATCTTGGTTTGATAAGAGCGTATCGGTAGGATGGTCGAAACTCTGCCAAACCACTGTACTGTCCTTCCCGAGCATAACCAGGTTTCCTGAATCCTGCAACTCTATCGCGGAAACTCCTCTGCCGCTGGTATTAGTTGACCACACCGTGCTTCCTGCTTTCTGTAGAAATGCGTCGCCGTTCTCATCGAAGTCAAATGTATCAGAATTCGTAACCGGGTTGTCCCTATTTGCAGACCAGACTACGGTGTTGCTGCGGAAATGAACCACAGCTAACGAGTATAGAGTAGGACCGGAGGCCTGGACAAAGGCGAAGCCAAAAATCGAGCTGTTGGACAAAAGAAACACCCCGCTAGTGCCGATCGAACCCATTCGAGTCGCTTGAAATCCTGGGTATATCTTGTCTATATTTTGAGCACCCTCCAATGAGATGCTAGATAGCAAGATGACACAGAGCCACAAATTTCCAGCAACAGCCATTGACCTTGAACTAACCATTGTTCCACCTTTAATGATAAGAGACGAGAACTTCAATTTAAGGACACATCGGTGATGATACTCGAAGATTTAAATGCAGAGGCTAATCTCCTCATCAGTATCATATATATCATATTTTCTTTTATATAATCAGAAAAAATTACTGGCTAAAAGACTTTAATTTCATTCCACCACGCTGCTCCTGAAAACTTTGAAAATGCTCTGCAAAGTGTAGAATTACAGATGAATTTGCATTATCTATACAGAGGCAAGCTTGTCACACCTAGTGATGAAATCAAAGCCGCCATAATGACAAATGAAATACTGATTACTCTAGCTTGGTCAAGAAACTTTCATACACTGCAATTCACCTCCTTAATTCACATAGCTCTTGAAATTTTAAAACTAATCAGAAGCAGAATCAAGCACACGCGGAAATGCAAAAATGTTTACACTGAAGAAACAAATTGCAAAGCAATTTTGAACCCTGAACTGATGCAAAAGATAAGTTTTGGCATCTAAATCTGAAATATCATATTACCGATTTTAAAGATACAACTAATGAGAAGAGAACAATATGAAGAGAGAGTCAAGGGCTCTCTTCAACTACAAATCCACAACTAGTGTTTTCTAGAATAAACGAGATCCGCTAAAAAAGCACAAAAAGAAAATAGAATTAAAATGGAAATTGATAAGGTACTCTTGACTTGGCCATGAAAAGAGAACAAATTGAGCTCTTACCTCATCAATTTGCTTGAATTCTGAAAAAAAAAACTAGATTCCGGACCAGGGTCCCCGTTTTTTCTATCAATTTGATCCTGCTTCTGTCGCAAGGCAGTGACTAGAGGGATACTAAAACTTCATTACCAACCGTAAGGAAGAGGAGCATTACAACCATGATAGGCCACACCATTGGCTTGCCACGAGGACAGTCCATTCCAAGCAACGACTTGCCTTTGACTTTGCCTGCCCATAAAGACAAGACAATTTCAACCATTGACTGGGCCAACCCAGAAAAATACTCTCTTATCAGTTTTTGGACTGATGGCGACCCAGAAAACTACTCTCTTATCAGTTTTTGGACTGATGGCGACACATTTGTGGAGCGTGATCTTAGACCTCTCTCACTCCAAAAGCTAGTTTAAATTGTAAGACTTTCCCTCACACTTATAAACCAACCACCAACCCCTTCTACAATCGATGTGGGACAACCTCAACAATCTCCACCTTCCATATTAGGCCTGGGTCAGGGCCGCAACAATCCGTAACTCTACCATGTAATTATTGGATCGAGACTTGTTGGCAACCTGGTTATGGTCTTAGACCTCTCTCACTCCAAAAGCTAGCTCAAAGGGTGAGGCTTTTCTTCACACTTATAAACCAACCGGCCCCTTCCACAATCCATGTAGGACAACCTCAACAATTTGTGTATCAGGTCAACAATAGCTAACAAAGAAAAATCAGCCAAGAGCTTGATGTGCTTTTTCAACGCCGTAACATCGTGTGTTTTAAGTTCTTACGAGGTCAACAACACTGCTCTTTGAGGCCTACAATAATTTGAATGTCTGAACAGTACCTAAAGCCGTCACAACTCCTCAATTGTGTATATAGCATCAATACAGCATTAGTGCAAGTTGAACACACGCTACAAGAATGTTGGTCCATCTAAAGCCGTCCCTTTAACCTTTTTCCCCCGGTTAAATGGCTTGAACTTATTTTGCGGATAATCAAAATAGGCTTTAATGTTGTTAACAGTTGCCGGATTCAAAGGCAGTTGAAGTATCTATTACGAAGTTGGAGGAAAGCTAGTGAAGTGGATGGGTCAGTAGTCTGTGGCTAACCATTGCTGTTCACAACCGTCCTGGACAGGCATAAAATGCAATTTCGACAGTTCAGTACATGGGCACACGCTTGACACGATGCATGTATAAAGAGCACTGAATATATCACTTATAGGCTTGATCTTTGATCTTACCTGAAAGAGAATTTCAGTGCACGAGAGAGAGCGTGGATACCAATGGTGAAGAAAGTGAGACTTGAGTTAAAAAACAAAGATAATAAATTAATTTGGCTTAAAGGGAAATCTATGAAATCTCTCGCACAAAGTTCACTGTCCATAACCATCACGATTTCTTTTATAATGCTAGAGATTAGCTTTTTTTTTTGTCTGAGTTGTAAATTACTGTGCTTTTGTACACAAACTTTTTCTTGACCTGCCTGGCCTAGTTTTCTTTTATTTGTACAAAGATTAATCAATGCGTTGGTATGCTAAGCCACGTAAGCAACTTGATTATTGAGCAAAAGGCCATATTCAACATCCGGTAAGCGTCCACCGCACTCCTTAATATGTCAATTTTCCATATCAATCTTGATGTACCTAACTTTTTATCTTTTTCTTAAACGATATTTCTTTGATGTGCATGTTCAAGAATCAATCAACCCTGTTCAATTATACTCAAAAGGGATTTCTATTCAATAACCCTGTTCAATTATACTGAACAACTGAAATTTGTAACCTTCGTTAGAAGCAGACAGGCACCAAAACTTGATCCAATGTCAGCTCTCAAGGTGACTTGCAAAGGTTATGAACTAGACTCCTCGATTGGGTCATCATATTATTCAATTTTGTGAGCAAGAAAAGTGCTGCTCAAAAACCGCATCGTCATTCGAGGTAATAGTTCGAGGTTAAGTCATTATCTATCTTATCAATAAGCAGACCGTAAACTTTACAGAACTTGAAAGGTGCCAAACCGATAAATTCGTCAGTTTCGGTTAGATACAACTCACAAAGTCTTTTACGCGTTTCAATGGCAGTTTGATGGGTGGTAAGGGTCTATTCCCCAGGAGATGCATCTCCGAATCATTAAAAGCGAACCTAATTCATAGAGACCGCTCTGTATTATTAATGCAATCTGATCGACCCACAGGATAAGGAAATCTTGAACTTCTGCAGGCAAATACTTGTTAAATATCTTCAATACGACCGTTAACCTCTTTTATACTTCAAAGTACCCCTAAAGCTGAACAAATATGCTTGTGTCACGGGCCGATAGTTTGGGAACGACCCGTGCGGCGACTTAGGCTTCCTTGGATCGACTCTCTATTTGCTCTGATACCACTTGTCACGGGCCGATAGTTTGGGAACGACCCGTGCAGCGACTTAGGCTTCCTTGGATCGTTGGAATGCCTAGGCCAAGCCTTTTTCCGATCGCTCACTCGCTCGACACTCGGATCGTAGAGAGAGAACCTAGAGAGAGAAGCTCTGGAAGAGAAAGGAAATGCTTCTTGTTATTTGGATACTTCAAATGAGGGGGACACCCCTTTATATAGTAGAGGGCCTCGGATTACAACCATTGATTGATTTCTAGACGAGTGGCCGAGATCGTATTGTTCTCGTCGACCACCTACCGACATTTATTCCGAGAGCTATCAACTACCGGCATTTATGCCAAGAACTCTCTAGAACCCCGGCACAATTACCGTTTCGCCCGTCCTTGGGAAAATTCCGGAAGCTCCATTGGGTTTTGGACGGGTCTTCATCGATGTGTCACGGTCCTTGGTGTTAGAAAACCTCTTGACCGTGACACTTGAGTGTCGTGTTTCGCGGGACTGAGGCTACTCTTCCAGTATTACCTCCCAAGAGAGTGATAATTAGCTCCCATTGAGGCTAAATATCGGAGCCTTGTTCTTGTTCACAGGCCTTTTAGTTTCAAAAGGAATTGATACCACTTGTATATTCTGACTGTCCTTCGAGCCTCCAAAATATTTATTTTTCCTTGGGATGTCCCATTTCTGATTTCACATTCTACTTGCTAGCATTTAAACTTGGTATAAGCTGAATGGCCATGTAAGTTCAGAAGATCGTGCATACTAGCAATCAAGTTCATAAATTTAATAGGAATTTCAGCATCAGGATGACCAGAAAGATATTGAGCCTTGTGGTCGTAATGCGTAGAATACACAGATAGTCCACTTTCATGTTTCTTATTATGGCAATGATCATGAAGCAAACATGAACTCAAATCTCCAATAGGAAAGAATACTAGACCATCTCATCAACTATCATAGTTGAATCATCAACTAGTTGTGGTTAAATTTCCTTATAAAAAAGCACCTGCTGATGCTACAGACAGCAAGGAGGAAAAAATGTGATCACACTTCTAAAAGAATAGCCAAACCTACAAAATTGGGTAAAACTTTCATATTTTACAGGCTAAAAGGCTAATATATGCAAAACATATACAGCAGAAAAAATTTCTTAAAGTAACAACTTGCTGTTATCTTGGACCTGAAAGCCGAACTGCTGAAAGATTTGCATCACTATTACTGTCTGATGGTCCTGAAGAAGTACCTTCCTCACTGGCTGTTTTGAAAAGGGTCGGAAGGAAGCGAGAACCCAGTGGAGAGGAAGTCGGCGGCTGAGGAACTGAACAGACACCTTCAAGCATTTGGACGACTTTAGTCATTGACGGCCTCATGTTCATATCTTCTTGTATGCACCACAAAGCAACTTTAATAGCAGTAGAAACCGTCTCATCGCTTTCGTCCGTCTCAAGACCCGAATCAAGGATCTCTCTCAGCTTCCCGTCTTCCATCATCTTGAAAGCATAGGAGGGGAAATAAGATTTCTCGGATGTTTGCTCAGAGTCGTAATTCTTTCTTCCACCGATTATCTCGAGCAAAACCATCCCGTAACTGTACACATCGCTCTTCTCGGATATGGCATAGTTGGTTATCCACTCTGGTGCAAGATAGCCCCTCGTGCCTCTGAGTGTTGTAAAGACATGGCTCTGCTCTCTAGTCATTAGCTTAGCCAATCCAAAATCCGAGACTTTGGCAAGGAAGTTATCATCCAAAAGCACGTTTTCTGGCTTTATATCACAGTGAACAATCTTCGCGTCACAATCTTCGTGTAAGTAGGCCAGTCCTTTTGCCGTTCCAATCGCAATGTTATATCTCGTTCCCCAATCTAATGTGCCTTCGTTGTCTCTCTTAAAGATCCATTTATCGAGAGATCCATTGGCCATGTACTCGTATGCTAGAAGCCGGTGAGTTCCTTCCGCGCAAAAGCCCTTCAGCCTGACCAAGTGATGATGATGGATGCTTCCAATGATGCATACCTCAGATCGGAACTCTTTCTTTCCCTGACCGATGCCTTCCAATTTCTTCACAGCCAATCTTGTCCCATCTGGTAGGACACCTCGGTACACCGAGCCAAACCCGCCTTGCCCTAGCTTCGTGGAAAAGTTATCAGTCGCATCTTGAAGCTCTTTATAGCTGAAACGAACTGGCATTCCTGATAAACTCTCAAGAAAGTTTTCTTCCTCCGAAGCCTCTTGAGGAGCTTCGGGTAATGTCGGCTTTGCCTTGGAATATCTGAATCCAGCATAAATCAGACCGAGAACAACGAAGAATGTGGAAACAGAAATTAGGATAACATATAACATATGTTTTTTGTTGCTTCCGCTGTCCTGAGAACTGCCGCCATTCATACCACCACCGGTGAGCACCTTAATGTAAGAGACAAATCCAGAATTCTGATCAGAACCCTGCAAGGCCCCAATACTGTCAAACAAGTAACAATCTCCAGAACTATCCTGATAAAATAATGCGAGACATGAACAATTATTAAGGCAAGAGGTCTTGCATCCATTGAGATCAGCATTCAGTGAGGGTGAGACAAACCCAAGCGCAAAGTAGCCGATTCCCTCCCCCGCACTAATGAGATCGATTGAAGCCTTTGAGTGATCGCAAGGAGAACCCAACCCCGTACTACAATTTGGATGAGAAGTGAGGACTGAGAGACACTGACACATGTTACCGGTATAACAGACTTCATACGGGTCACAAGGCTCTGGCGTACTGCATGCATCACTGGGTATTTTCACGGGAGAAAAATCAGGCGTTCCTCCACTGCCCAAGCTGGAGAATGAGATGATTCCGTCTTTTCCCAGGACCGCGATCCAAGTGGCATTAGGTTCGCTACCATCCGAAAAGGGGAATTGCCACAGCAAAGTCCCGTTCTCATCGTAGAATCTCCATGAATTCGCAACCATCGTGGCCGAGACTACTTGACCACCGTTTTGGTTCTTCAGATGTCTGCTGTCCTTCCCCATCGACCAGTATGGTTGAGGCGTTATATAACCAGCAGAAAGGATCACATCGCCAGATTTAATCTCGAGAGTGTATGTCAAGTTCTTGGACCCGGGGCTCATGAGCCTCATCCCTTGCGTAAAATCTTGGTTCGATAAGAGCGTATCCGTAGGATGGTCGAAACTCTGCCAAACCCCTGTACTGTCCTTCCCGAGCAAAACCAGGTTTCCTGAATCCCGCAACTCTATTGCGGAAACTCCTCTGCCGCTGGTATTAGTTGACCACACCGTGCTTCCTGCTTTCTGTAGAAATGCGTTGCCATTCTCATCGAAGTCAAATGTATCAGAATTCGTAACCGGGTTGTCCCTATTTGCAGACCAGACTACGGTGTTGCTGCGGAAATGAACCACAGCCAACGAGTATAGAGTAGGACCGGAGGCCTGGACAAAGCCGAAGCCGAAAATCGAGCTGTTGGACAAAAGAAACACCCCGCTAGTGTCGATCGAACCCATTTGAGTCGCTTGAAATCCTGGGTGTATCTTGTCTCTATTTTGAGCACCCTCCAATGAGATGCTAGACAGCAAGATGACACAGAGCCACAAATTTCCAGCAACAGCCATTGACCTTGAACTAACCAGTGTTCCACCTTCAAGGATGAAAAACAAGAACTTCGATCGAAGTAAACATATCGATGGTGATACTTGAAGATTCAAATGCGGAGGGTAATCGTCCCATTGATACCATATCTCATCATTATTTCTCTCATATGATCAGAAAAAAAACCAGCTAAAAGACTTGAATTTCATTCCACCATGCTCCTCCTGAAAACCTTGAAAAAGCTCTGCAAATTGTAGAATTACAGATGAATTTGCAGCAACTATATAGAGGTTTGCTCGTAACACCTAGTGATCGAATCAAAACAACCCAAAAAGACAAATAGAAACTCATTACTATCGCTTTCTCATGTAACTTTCATAAACTGCAATTCACTGTTAAATGGCTCTTGAAATTTCAAAACTAGTCAGAAGCAGAGCCAAGCACATGCGCCCATGCAAAAACGTCTACACGGAAGAAGCAATTTGCAGACCAAACTTTGAGCCCTGAACTGATGCAAAAGATAAGTTTTTGCATCCAAATCTGAAACTATCATATGACCAAATTTAAAGATACAACGGATGAGAAGAGAACAACATGATGAGACAGTTAAGGGCTGTCTTCGACTACAAATCCGGAACTGCTGCTTTCAAGAACAAATGAGATCCACTTAAAAAATCTTTTTAAGGAAAAACACAAATTGGAAATCAATCTTGACCATCAAAAGAGAAAAAATCTGAGCTCTTACCTCATCAACTTACTTAAACTCTGAAAAGAACAAGATTTCAGACAAGAGTCCTTGTTTTTTCCTTCCAATTTGGATTCTGCTTCAGTGACGAGGTAGCGTCTGGAGAGATCTGCAGCAAGAAAATTATTGTCTCTTTTATTTATTATTCTATTCAAACTTCATTTACCAACTGGAAGGATCCAATTTCTTTTTTCTTGATAATAAGATGGGGAAGTTGTCAAGTTGCAATATTTTTCTTTTTTAGCAGTTAGGTCTGACATTAATCATTGACTTGCCAGTCCAGAAAAATGCAGACTCTATCAGCTTTTTGGACTGAAGGCCACACATTTGCGCATCCCGTCAACACATTGTTGATAAAAAATTTGGCAAGAGCTTCACGTTTGTTCGACGCCATAACATCACATGTTTTATCAGGTCAACAAAACCGCTCTTTCAAAGCCTCTTGTGGTTTGAATTGTAAGGAATAATGATAACTTTGTAAGTTTGGGACGAGTACACAAGTTGGAGGGAGAAATTGTTCTTAGAATTCTTTCCAATGGGTTCTATTTATATACAACACTCACCTTAAGCCCTTATATAGAAAAGCACAATACCTACACTACATTTAATGATGAAGAAAAAAAGCATCCCATACACTTAGGTTGCAAATGATAATTATTTTGTTTCTTTATTTTTCAATTTTTCTGTATCTGAAATAGATTTGGAACAAAAATCCATTTGGTAACGCAATTTCATTTTTCTATTTCGGGAACAAATTTTAATTTCAGAAATACGTTTGGAACAAAAATTAGAAGTAAAATTTTTCTACTTTTCTATTTTCTGGAACAAAAATGAGAAATGAGAAATAAGAATTCTTCTCATCGCTCGCCCTCGTTACTAGCCGATCGCCCGCCTGCCGTCCTCCGCATCTTGCCCATCCACCGGCCGTCGTCTCTTGATGTTGGCCGTTGTGGCCCGCTCCCCTGCTGCGCGCCGTCTCCCGCTGCTGGCAGTCACCCGCCGCCTCCTACAGTTCGCTCGCCGCCGTCTCCTACCAGCCTCTGGCAGCCACCCGCCGTCTCCCGCTCGCCGTTCGCCGCCCACCTCCTGCTGCCATTTGCCGTCCGCCGCCCATCGGCTGTCCACTCGTCGGCTGTCTGGAAGGGAAAAATTTTGTGCCGTTATTAAATAAATTTTTATTTCGAAAACATAAATTTTATGTCGTTATAAAACGGATATTTTTTTAAAAAATACATCCATAAAATAAAAATAAAAAAAACTGATCAGAAATTAATTTCTGAAACATCCTAAAGTAGAAAATGTCAACAACAAAATAAACACAAACATTAAATGAGCCAAAGACCATGAAGCCTTTGCTCCTTCTGACAAGGTTAGAACTTCACGGTTTTGACAAAAAAACCAAACAAGAGCTCATCGTTTCCTTACGAAAGCATTTAATGGTGGAGGCTCTAGTCAAAAATAGCCCTCCATAAATCATGCTAATTTCCTTTTTGTCTTCGATCTTCTTCTGACACCCACCATAAATCAAGACGTCCAAATCCAGAATCCAGCCATGAGCGTGCCCAAATCCAACAATCAATTTTTATATTATTCAAACATGAATGTCAAACAGCACCTGAAGCTGTATACTCTTTCAACGAGTGTCATTACGTAGAAAAGCATATACATGTCATGCGAACATGCTCGATCGGTCAATTAACTTATTAGGATCTCAAGAACTTCGTCGGCTCCCTCCCCGCGGATAACCAATCCATCTAAAGAGTTAGCATTTTTCGCCGTAATTTAGATACATCCCGTATCGCGAAAACTCGAAACTTAAAGCTGTAGAAACCTTTCTGGTGTAACAAAGGGTGCAACAAAGAACAGTCCTGCAGAGATTATCAAGAAGAACAGAAAAAAAAAAAACTAAGAAACATTACAAGAATTGAGGGCTGTTCTTTAGTAACATCTCCTCTTTTCCTGGCCGAAACAGCTTGAACGCACTTACTTTGCAGATAATCCAAACTGGCAATGATGCTTGTTCAAAGTTGACGGATTCAAAGGCAGTTGAAGTATTTATGGCAAAGTTGGAGGAACGTGAGTGAACAGGATGGGTCAATGGTCTGCGGCCAACTGTTAGTATTCACACTCGGGTCACGGACGTGCATAAAATATAATTTCGACGGCGGCTTCTCCCTCCCCACATAAAATTTCAATTGCGTTGAGGGTGTAACCCCGGCCGCGCACACTCGAAATGAATTGGACAGAACCGGTTTCAATACCATCTTAGATTATCCAACCCCAAGGCTGCGTTTGGTCGTCCGGATTTCATATCTTGTCCACTGTTTGGTGGACTACGAATTTAAAGTCGGATAGGATATTTTTTATTTTTTGTTTTTTCTATTCACGGGTCCGGAGGAGTCAGTGAAGGAAAAAAAAGCCGAGAAATTTTTTTGGTGAAAGCGCACAAGGTGTGGGGATGAAGATGACGGCAAGTGGAGCGTAGGGTTTCTGGAAAAATAGGTATTAGAAATCCTATCCGGGTCTATCCCACCCCCCTCCCCCGGATTTTTTTATCTGGGTTATATCCGGTCTATATCCGACCTTATCCTATCCTGGACCACCACCAAACACAAAATAGGATAAAACATATCCTATCCTGGCTTTTATCCGATCGACCAAACGCAGCCCAAGGGTCTAAGCTTATCAGTGACAAGGAGATCGCATGTATATAATAAACTTATAAACTTATAGATAAAGACGTGGGATGTTTTAACAAAATTCACGGTGCACGGTTATCACAAATTCTTTTAACCACAGCAGAGATTAGCTTTTGATTTTTTTTCCTAAGAGATAGACTTCTATGGAGGAAATTGTCTAGTCGGTCATAAATTTATTTTATGGATGCCAATTTAGTCATAAACTTTCCGACTAATTTTCTCCGGAATTTGTTGACGTGGCTGTTGGTAAATGAAAACGCGGCTAGGTCAATTCTTAAACTAAGCATATTATTAGTTGACCTTTTAGCCAAAAAAGATTTTTCTCTTTTACCAAGTCTTACTACTAACCATATCGATTTATAGTTGACCAAGCTACTTGTTGACATTTTTCAATCAAAATGGCAAACTCTCGTTCAATTCATCGTGAAAAGTTGAATTATGTCATCCCCTTTTTTTTTCCCATGTCATTTGTTAAACGATAATTTCAACTCAAAACTTTGAGCTATCATCTAAACATAAGTAAAGTTGATATATAACCACAGTAAACACAAGATGTGAGGTCGACTTCGATGTCGCCTCTCACTCGCAAATGAACGATGAAATGTTCGTGTTAATTTAGTCCGGTAAAGAAACATAGTCCAAAATAAACTTGAGGACGTTCTTTGATTTAGAACATACATTTTTACTAAGTTTAGCATTTGTAAGAAAACCCTAGCTAGCAAATATGCCTCACTAACAGATAATAGCAAGAGAAAAACAGAATCCCTGCAACTGCGGCGGGAAATACATAAAACAGCCGATTTGATTCTACTGCTTTGTCCGAGATACTCTCTCTTCGGTTGTCTGAAGATGGACAAGATCCTCAAATTCCGTTCTAGCCTTCAGTTTAAATACTAATTCAATCAACGGATGTTTACTGTGTAAGGAATGATGCACATGAAGGACCGTCAAACATGCTTCACTTATGGAACTAACAAAGAACAGTGTCCCATGAAACCACAAGCTCAGATTGACAGTTTGACAATTTGAAACTGCTCAGAAGGTGGCCTTAGTGTTAGGATAAGATATGTGCAATAATATGGATTGCTTCTTGAAAATCGTGACTATATAAAAAAAAAATTTGGACCGACCACTGGAAACCAGAATTTGGAGTATTTATCTCAACCTATACTTTACATTGCCAAAATCTTTTACCTTTTGTCAATGTACTTTCACGCATTTTTTAATCAAGTCCCCCCGCCACCAATTCCGACAAAATTTAGTTGATGTAGCTGTTGGACGATGCCAAAGTATGACGCGACTAAAATATGTAGATGTCCACATGAACGTGTCCAGAAAAATTCAGCAAATCTAGTCAAGGTTCAGCATATGGTATGGATGAAATTTAGATGATGTGAACACACACGTGGGTGTCCACGTTGGAAATACTTAATTCACGTTATACTACGCGTCATTCGACCACACTAGGATCCCTGGGTCGGCCATGGAGAACTAGGGTTCATTTGTTGGCGACCTGGGTTTGAGAGTAGGTTACTCAAGCCGGACCACTGGAGTCTCGGGCACAGCCGCCGGGGATCCGAGCATGTCCGCTGGGGGGCCGAGCTAGCCTTGAAGTCCCAAGCCCAATAGCAAGGTCCTGGGCCTATGCATCGGTGTCCAGTCATAGTTTACAAAATTATTTCTAATTTGTAAAAGAGGAAGCCATTTTCTTGAACTTAATTTAGGTTTTTCGTTGACTATGAGAATATTTTTTATTGACTCATTTTTCTACCAAACCCAAATCCGAAAAATGATTTTCGAAAAAATTTTCACGAAACAAATAGACTCTTAAATTTAGAATCTATAATAGGTTGGATGAGAATATGTGGAGACTTTTAAATTACTAGTTGCTATTGTTTAATAATATAACGTCATTATTATAAGGGTGATGCTCTTATTGAGATTTCATAGTCATTCTTTTATATAAATGTGATTGATATCTCTCTCTCTTCCCCCATTCATTTACTCTTGTTTTGGGCCAACTTCTCCATTTTATTTATATGATATCTCGTCAATAGTGTTGATTAGAAAAAGCCATTTTTAATTTTTATGAGTGAATTATTTTTAGTTTTAAATATAGTGATTTATAGCGCGCACCTGCCAGAGTCAAAAACAAGATCCGGAAGCACTTTAAGGTCATCAAACCTCATTATTGAATTTTATATGCAAGACTAGTTCCAAGCGTTCGATATTAGTCATATAGTCGGAATTTTTTTTTAAAAAAAATCATCAGATAGAGCTGCAGATTATGTCATTATGTTAGGGTTGCCTAGTTAAGAATGTGGGTTAATGCCACGAAAAACCTCAAATTGGTATACCTGCGACAAATTTACTACAAACTATTTTTTTACCACTAAAATGTTAAACTAGTACATTTGTGACAAATTTACCTTATGCTAAATTGGATTAATGCCACAAAAAATCATAAACTGGTACATCCGTGATAAACGGAGGGTAAAACCACAAACTGGTACACTCGTTAATTGTCACATATCATCTAACTGAAAAATTTGACGGTAAAATTGAATGGAAACTAACTGAGAGTAAAGTTGTCACATGCGTTCCAGTTTGAGGTTGTTGGTGGTCAAAAAATTAATTTTGGTGAATTTATCACATGTGTATCAATTTGGGGTTTTTTCATTGTATTAACCTTAAGAATTTTCCCTAATTTCGAGAAAAGAATAATAAATAAAGGGGCTGTGTAACAACTCTTTATTATTAAATACATAAATCAGGTAACTTACGGATAAATTTTCTCACCTTAGACTAAGGGGGCAATATTATTTTATTTAGGTAAATTAAGAATGAGTTAAAAAAACCCTAGATAGGAATCTTTTCCAGCTCAAGGGCATCTCCGACTTCCTTCTCTTGCGGGATATGCCGTGCTGAACAAGATACAACGCCATTTTCTCATGTGAAATGAAAATCCTCCTTCACGTTTTGAACAGTGTTTAGCAACCCCCCTTTTTTTATTTGTTTTAAACCTTGGCAATTAAATCAAGGATTAATACCACCAAAAACCCCAAATTGATACGCGTGTGACAATTTTACCCTGAACTATTATTTTGACCACCAAAAACCCCAAACTGGTACACCTGTGATAATTTTACCCCGAACATACCACAAAAAACCCCAAACTAGTACATTTGTGACAATTTTACCCTGAACATACCAAAAAAAATCTCAAACCGGTCCGGCGACCGATTAGAGGTTGAAAATGAAGAAAAAAAAATAAAAATAAAAAAAATCGAAAAAAATAAAAAATAATATTAAAAAATTATTAGTTTAGGGTAAAATTGTCACAGGTATACCAGTTTGGGGTTTTTCATGGTCAAAAAAATAGTTTAGGGTAAATTTGTCACGGGTTTACCAGTTTGGAGTAAAATTGTCACAAGTGTACTAGTTTGGGGTTTTTTGTGGCAAAAAAAAAGTTTGGGGTAAAATTGTCACAGGTGTACCAGTTTGGGATTTTTGGTGGTAAAAAAAAAGTTCAAGGTAAAATTGTCACGCGCGTACCAGTTTGGAGTTTTTGGTGATATTAACCCTTAAATCAAAGGCTTGCTATAAATTAAGGGTATTGATAATATAAGCTTATAGTTAGGTTAACCTAGTCTTATTTTTAGAGGCCCACTTCTAATTTGGATTTAAAGGAAGCCCATTGCTCAATTCCATGCACAAAGTTTAGAGGGCAATGGCACATTTTGTTTAAGAAATGGTTAATATAATAAAAAATTATAAACTGATACATATGTGATAAATTTATCTCAAACTAAGTTTTTTACCACAAAAAATCCCAAACCGGTATGCTTGCGACAAATTTACCCTCCGTTAAATTGGATATATACTATGAAAAATCACAAATTGGTAAATCTGTGACAAACGGAGAGGTAAAACCCCAAATTGGTACACCCGTTAACTGCCACGTGTCGTCTAATTTAGCAATTTGACGGTAAAATTTAATGAAAATCAACAGAAGGTAAATTTGTCACAGGTGTACCGGTTTGGGATTTTTGGTGATCAAAAAATTAGTTTATGATAAATTTGCCACAGGCGTATCAATTTGAGGTTCTTCGTGGTATTAATCATTTAAGAAATGATATAAAATAGAAAGAAGTAGTGCCTTTTTTGTTCATTCATTTGAAATTTATCGGATAAACTAAAAGTCTAGTCCCTCACATTCACATATTTCCAAAATGCCTATAGATCTTGATTAAAAAAATTATTACTTAGACAATGTTGTCATTTTTATTTATAGGAATAAATGGTTGTTCTTGGGGACGGCAAGGACTAGCCATTCTTGCTGAATTTTTAGACCAAACGAAGGAGTAATTTACTCTATCATAAATAATTTGGAATATAATTAACTATATTTGACATTACTTACTATGTTTGATTTAATTAATCTGCCGTCAACAACTCATTTACAATTTAAGCATAAAATTCTTCAAAAATACAAAGACAAAAGAAGCCTCTGGTAAATAGAGTGAATAATGAAAGAAATTTGGACATACACTTTCTTCTTTTCGTGGCAAAAAGCTAGCACTACTTTTGCTTTTAATTATTACTGATTCTTTAAAAAGTTTTTTTTATTTAATTAAGTGCATAAATTGCACCCGATAAAGACATTAATTCAATTATAATTTTAACAAATATAATTTATTTATTTGATCCATTTTTTAAATTGAAATGAAATTCAAAACTATAGCGTTCTTTCCTTTTAATGTGGTTAAATCTACATGTGCACATTAAAATAAGTTGGGCTACAGCTAATTTATGCCCACAAAAATATATCGAACAGGCATATACAATTAAAAAAATATATATGCTCAGGCAATATACGTCACAAGATTTCCACTATGTCATGATTTTCCCATGTTTGGGGAAAATTGTCTGATTCTCTACCTTAATTAGAGCACTTCTCTTGAGCTCTTAAATCATGTGGGTCCCACGTAATTTGCGGTATAATTTAACGACACAGTAAATTAAGAGTTACCAAAAAAAGAAAGCTCCATGTTTGGGCCAGTATTTGATCCTACGACCACATCAGAGGTTCGAAATCACCACCCATGACCACAGCCACAACTTCAAAACCATTGCCGTTTACCTCTCACCACCACAATCGCCACTACCATAGCCCTCCATCTCCCTCGAACCTCAGAACTCGGGTCGGCGTACCATCAACGACATCGACGACCTCGAATTTGAGACCTTCGGTGGTGGTCGTCGTCAATCTTGAGTAGACGTGGATGCCATTGACCTCGACCACCGAGGTGTTGTTCCTCCGATTTCTTATGTTTATCCCCCAAGTATTCCCCACCATGCTAACTCCTCCACTACTTTCATCCTCTGCTACTTTCATTATTCGCCACCACCTTCATGGCGTTAAACCTACATGTGCACATGGAAATAACTCATAAATGGGGGAAAAATTGTCCAAAGAGTAAAAAACGAGGCTGGTTCACTCCTAAACCTTTCAATTGTGCCAATTTATACTAAATCTATTTGACGATTTGCCAATGTAGTCATTCCAGTCAAATATCCAAATAATAGATTTTATGACTAAATTGACAAATCGTCAAAATGTTTATAACTAAATTGACATAATTGAAAAGTTTAAGATTAAATTGGCTACCGCACATTAGATTTAGGACTTTTTGGATAATTATCCCCATAAATGAGTGCATAACCATCAGCAACCAATGGCTGTTAATTGAGCTTATATCTAATTTATGCCCATAAGCAAATATCGATTAGCCAGGGTGACAGGTCATGGATTTCCCACGTTTGAATAAAATTATCAAATATTCCCGACCTTTATCAGCCCAATTCATATGAGCCATCTATTAGATCATGCGGATCCCAAGTGAGCTAACGACTTATGTGGTCTAGGCTAGGCTAACATATTTACTCACGTGATCTGATGGCTGGCTAACTTAGGCCAGATGTACCCACCCAAAATCTCCGTATTCATACCACCGCCCGATCTACTGGCTCGAGTGAAGTGAGCTGAACACATGCCGAGAGTACACAACGAAAAGCTCCACACACAGGTCACCTCACCACGACTTTGACTGCGCATTACTCACCGAGAGGTCGATTCGAGTGTTCCATACCTACTTTCTTGTGGGTGTTCTCACCATAAACCATACAAAAGAAAGAAACCAACTCCCACAATTTCCATGTAGAGGAACCGTCTTGCGCACCGGAACGAAAGTCAATGGACTCCATCATCATCACCCGCACCGTCAGTCCCAAAACGAGACCTCAAATACAAAACCAACCCCCCTTACCTTGCCTGCAAGAAAGGCAAAGCCCGAACCACACATTCACCCATCACTTTCACGACCCTTTACGACACCAAGAGGCCCTCCCTCCCTCCCTCTCTCTCTCTCTCTCTCTCTCTCCAGTCACAAGTCACATCGACCCTCTCTGAAAGCAAAAGCCAAAGCCAAAGCCGAAGGAGGAATACATTATCATGTACATCGTGCCCCCCACAGCTTCACACAAAAAGAAGCCCCACAGCCATACTTTTTCTTCCCCCTTTTCATCCCCCCCAAATTTTCAACACGAAATCAATCTTTCTTCCACTTACTTGACCCATCTGAAAACGGGCCCCGCTTACCACCCACCGAAACGACACCCCATTAGCAGTTTTTCTTTAGCAAATTATCAGGCTGGGCTGGCTAGGCTTGGCGAGTAGCCACGTCTGCCCTCCCCTCCTTTCCACATGATCTCCACCCATTTTTTGGTTCTTATTAATTTTGCGTTATTGGTTTTGCAGATGAAGCCTTCAGAAACATGCCAAGCCAAAGCAAGCAGAATCTGCAGGAGGAGGTCCCCCAAATGCCAAGGATCAGATGGAAAAGACCAGTTTCTGTACATTTCATTAGTTAGCAGCATGCGTGTATACATTGCATCTGCCGTCTCTGCTTCATTTATATACACTGTCAAGTTTGTCCACCTACAACTCTCATATGATGTTAGAGCATCACCAACAAAGGCAGACATGTTTCATATGTTCCCCCACATAATCTACCTCTTTAAAGATAAACCGTTGTTTCAAAGTACATTCAGCTGCTACGCCTAGTCACAGTTAATCATCTGATGGCAAAACTCATCAGAAGACAACTTTCATCAGATTTGTTCGCTAAGGGTGCATAGCTAATGCATGCTAATTCGTACAACCATGCTTAGTCAGGAGCTTACCAAAAGACCAAGTTCAGTATACACATCAGCACTATACTGATCCTAACGAAACTAGCAGGTTCATTTGCAACTACACATTCAGCTAGCTCTTCGCAGAAGATTTAAGCCGCATACACCGAGATCGATCGATCTACAAACCTGAGCTTCTCAATGTTTCATCATTATGCTTAAGTGGATGCTTTGGGTGCCAACAACACTGGTGATCCTCCACATAATAACCACAAAGAGCACTCTTCTTTCTCACAGGCTGGTCTACTTTTAATTGCTCACGCTGGAAACTCCTTTTGGTCGAGAATATGGTAGATGGATGATCCGCATTTTCCCAGCGTAAGAATGGAAGCTTGCAGTCTCTTCTCAGTCTTTGGTCACAAAATATGCTTGCTTCCCGAGCACTATTACAGCCCATGTCTACAATCTCTCGCGGCTGACTTTTTTCGGCACCAATGCCTTCGACCAAATGAGGGCCCAATCGCAAAGACAAATCGCACACGATCTCAGGTGGTGGCTTGAATATTGCTGATGCATCTAAGTTTTCAACTGGATGGCTTTGACAATTTCCCACGGAGTTGGACCGGGAGCACAGTGGTCCAAAATGGGATAGATTTCTTTCGGGTTGTGGGCGACTACCGTGATAATACAAGGGATAAACCGAGTACGGTTTTGATGCTGGGTGAGCTTGAGTGGGTGACGCCCGGTTCACAGCACGGATAAAAGATGTGTAGTCCGGTTTAGCTGATGTAATAGACTCAAGTCTTGAATGATTTGGATAAAACAAAACCGGGTCTGATATAATTGTCTGATTTCCGGAACTAGACTTCTTCATAATGCCATGAGGATCACCGGTCTGTTCTTGAGAATTCGCGCTCAGATATCGCTGAGGGCTATTGTTCCTTTGGCTCCTCGAGGCTCTTCTCGGCGTGCAGCCGAGAGTAAGGGCAGCTACAAGAACAGTTATAACGAATAACTAAAAGAGAATGAACGGATTATACAATTTGACTTAAAAAGGTGAAGGGGCGAGAAAAGCTAGGACGCGGACAACATTAGGAGAGAAAACATATCACATCAACTAACTGAAAAAAGTGAGCCTGAGCATAGACATTGCAAATCAAGAATCTACACCAACAAGCCATATATATCATACATTGCAAGAACAATGTCATAAGGAAGATAAAGATGAGAGCTTTACAAGAAAAAACAGAAAAAGAAAATAGATGTACTCAGGTTTTGTCACCTTCAATGCATGGCTGAAGTAGCTCTCCAGTTTCTGTACTCTCATCAAGTCTGATTATTGTGTTGATAGCATCGTTTGTACGGTCCAGAAGCGTTTCAAGATCCATGTACTCTGCCTATTTCGAATGGATTCGAGATAGCGAAAAGGCCGACCAAAAAAAAAAAAAAGAGATAGCGAAAAGGAAATCAATCAATGCACACCCTCCGCTATGTACAAGACTAGGTTCAATTGTTGAATTCTCTGCACTCGGTCGAGGTTTGTGAGCTTGTGACAGAAAACTTCGAGGTTGGAACAGAGAAAGAATTACTATTACCTCAGAATTGGCCTTGGAGTACATGATTTCTTCAGCTTTCAGGACAACAACAGGAAGCTTCTTTTGCCATTCTTTGTTCTTCTTAGTAGAAGAGCTATGAATCTCGTTCACGACTCTAGATTTCCAACAAACCAGCACAGGTTACCACCAAACAAGACATGCAAATACACAAGCATTTTCAGGAAGAAACCAACCGAAAAGAAAAAAAAAAACAGTTGAAAGTCAAAGATGGACCTGAAAATTTCATGGATGAGAGAACCCCTAATGGGTTGGTGTCTCTCACTGTGCCAAGCTTTCCTAACACATTCATAAGGTCTCGGGCCAGGTCTAGGCATCCTCTTCAAGAAAAGAACAGCAACCCCCAGAAATATGGAAAGAACAAAAAAAAACAGAGAGCTCTGCTTCTTGCGACTTGCGAGGAATGTGAGACAGAGAGAAAGAGGAAAAGATCAAAGCTTTGCGGTAACTTGCGGTGACCTCAGCTTTCTTCTTCTTCTTCTTCTTCCTCTTCTTCTCCTTACTTGTGACTCTGAGCTCTCGCTCTCACGCTTTTTGATCAGTGCCAGTACAAAACTTAAGCAAAGCGGTATGGGGCAGAGATGGAGAGAGAGAGACAGAGAGAGGGGAAACAGATTTTTTGTACAGAGCAGGGCGCAGTTGAATAGGACCCATTTCCATTATTAAAAGAGAAACTACTGATGATATATTTGGCTGAAATCTGCTTGTCACGTTATCTTAAACACCCATTTCCACAAACAAGAGATGCAGAAGATAACTCCAGAAAACCATGAATACATTATTGAAAATTTCTGCTTGAGCATTGTTCATTCCTTATAAAAAAATATATATATAAAATAGCACAATAGATTTTGATTCTTGATGAGCATTTTTCTAATTTTTGGATCAAATGAAAAGAGGGGTTGGGCAATTTTTGTGATTTGTCTGTTTTTTTAATATTTGTTGTCAAAAACCTGGCACTCAATTATTTGGGAGAGGGGGTTGAATTGATGGCTTGGGTGTCCCCCACTCATCCACATGCCTGCTTCCCCTAGCCCCACGAGTCCCTCTCTCCTTTTTCATTTATTTTTTTCCTCTATATTATATATATAATATATAGATGGGCATATCCTGACCAGTCAAATACCTAAAAAGAAGATTTTACTGAAAAACATAAAAGAAAAAAGATTTTATTTACTAGTGTTTTAGAAAACTTATAAAGAAACTATATAGAAAGAGAAAAATTAAACAAGAAAATATCATTATTTTTACATTACAGAACAGCTGCTCTAAAAGATCGAAATACTTTCTAGATGCACTCCGAAAGCGCGTTAAAAAGAAAAATTAAACAAAAAAAATCGAATAATAAGGAGAAGTGCGATTGCTAAAATATCTCATGCTGCTTGTCTACGTATTATATGTATTGTTTATATGCTTGTGATCTCTTTAAACTTACAAATTAAGTTTTGGGGCGGATGTTTCAACATGGTATGATAGCCGATTTCCGGCCTATAATTTATATCAAGTACGAGGCTTGCGGTTCATCAAACACCCACGTCTTTTTCTATTCGGCTTACCCATAAAAATAGGGGCATTAAAATATTTCATGTCGTTCTCGTTCGTTTGTGGGATTTACATATGTTTTCATGAAGGTAGATACTATACACATATCAATTTAAAAATGTATGTGGATTGAATATTTAAAGGGTGGCGATAGGGGTCGCTATCGGTGAGGGGGGGTCGCCAGCAAACCCCAACCTCTCTATATTCAGTCGCTTTTCCTTCGTGAGGACTGCTCGCAAAGGCCTTTTTGTGACGGGACATTCAAAAGGCCTCACCTGCATTCCCACGTGTTCGTTTGGTTAACTTTAGTGGGTAAAAAGAGGTAGAAAGAGAGGGAGAGAGTAGCGCACGTGAAATGTAAAATCTAAAACCTTGCCTTCTTTCGGTTCCCTCAGCGGGTGACTGAGAACATGTCTGGAATGATTGTAGAATTCTACATGTTTGTCACTTTACTTTTTAAGCATGAGGTTACCAGAGGTGATTTCTAAGTCCCCAATGTATCGTAAATTGATGAACACTAAGCATTTTGAGAAATTAAGAAGTGGGGCATGACAAGTTCTTGGAGCATGCTAGTCTCAAATCAATCTCCAGCTCACCGGCCGACTGATTCTTGGCCTTGCCGGCGGCGAGCGCACGTGCCTTTCCAAGCCATGGCGAGCGGCATTCTCGTCCAGATTTGGTCATCTTCTTGGATGGAAAAGCCGAGAGGGGAGTTAGGGAGGCCTTATTGCTTTTTGATGAGTTTTAATCAACTGTCAGGTTTGAGACCTAATCCCATGAAGACAGGAATTTGTACAGTTGGCTGGTATGATGACTCTCTTGCTGAGATTATAGAGAAATCTGGCTCTGAGCAAGGAATACTCCCACTTAAAATAATTGGGATGCCTTTCATACCGGGGAAATTAACAGTGAGAGAGTGTCAGCCATTGATGCACAGGATTTTGCAGAGGGAATACTGGCTGGACTTCAAGAATCTTTCTTTTGCAGGTGGACTGCAACTGGTTTCCACTGTTCTCCAAAGCATTGCAAATTATTGGTGCAGGGTCTTCATCCTCCCAAAGAAAGTGACCAAAAGGGATTCAAAGTGCGTCTCTTTTCTCTGGAAGGGTTGTGTTCTACGTTATATCTTGTGGACAAATGATTAAGGCTGGTTCTCTTTGGGTGGCATGGATGGACATTGACATGCTAAAGGGAAGGAGCTTTTATTCTCTTCCCATTACAGCTTCCTCTCCTTATTCATGGAGAGAAATTTCCAAATTAAGAAAGCTTGCCAAACCTTTGATCGAAAAGATCATTGGAAATGACAATAATAATTTTCTCCGGCATGATCATTAGCATCCAAATGGCCCTCTTCTGGATAGATGTGGTTTCAGAAATATTCATGAATCTGGCTCTGTCTTTTCAAGCTAAGTTTGCTGCTGTGATTGCCAACCTGAATTGGGTGTGGCCTAATGCTCGATCTGACGTTGTGGTTCGCATTCAAGCTGCTATCCGTCGAATTTTATTTCCCTAATGCCAATGAAGACGGGACAGGTTGGACGGCTGCCAGAAGCAAAGTTTGCTCGGTAAGTAGTGCGTGGAGTGTGCAAACGAATCGAAAAGCTCGGTCTCATCTGTTTCGGTTTCCTTTGAACATACCAAAGCATCCTTTCATCTCCTGGATTTTCATATCCGAAGGACGTCCATGAAAGATAGAATGATGCCTTGGAGCTTGTCTGTTGAACCCGGTTCGTGCGACATTTGCCGCTGAATCGCGGGATCATCTCTTCATCATCAAAAGGCTCTTACGCGAGGACCGTATGGATTCCGATTCAGACGCTCCAGCTTACTGGGATGTTGAGCTAGCTTGGTCTCTCTCCCTTGCTTCAATGGTCCTTCTTCCCTCCTATCTTGTACAAGCTAAACTTGGAATGACTTCCATTATCATGTGTGGAGGCTCTGGGAGACATGGACTTCGCAACTGAGTTCACTTGCTTTGGGTTATCTGTGGAACTAAGTTCTTACTTATCGAAAGAGATTAAAAGGACAAATCATCCAAACGCGAGTTTATCTGACAAGAATTTAAACTTCTGAATTTTCTTGTTAAATCCAAAATAATCATGCTAGATAAAAAATATCTTGAAAATATTTCACCGGATTGAAACGGTGTTAATGCCTAAAATTTGTGCACTTCTAACTATCTAAAGTGCAGACTAGAAAGATTGCAATCTTACTAACATACTCTAAACTTTGTCATACAACTGATACAAATGTGTCACATGACATGACATAACGCTCGAATGCACTTAAATATCAGCGATGTCCTAAAATGTATTTTCAATTATATCATGGAAATAATGAGTTTAACCAGAAACATATTTTTCTTAAAATATTCAGTGATCATTTAAATAAATTCGAAACTCAGGAAGTCGTTAAATTAAGTTTAGAGAAAATTTTTATCATTGATTTTCCCTACCCTTTCTGCCGGCAAAAGAATAAGAGCTAAAGTTGGTCCGTTTTCTCAAAAAAAAAAAAACTTAAATTAGATCGTGTCTCAAACAAGGGCCTGAGCTCACTGGCGGCTGAATTTTTGCCTGCCGGCGAGCATGTGCATATCATGTGCCATTTTTCTAGTTATGCCCAGGGGCATTTTTGTCAAAAGATATATATATATATATATATATTTCCTCCTTTTTCTCTTTCGCTCTTTTCTTCTTTCCTCGGCCTGAGCTCCACTCTCCATTCATCTTCCTCTTTACTGAACGCGGCCAATTCTTCATCAATCGCAAGAGCTTGACGGCGATTGACGATGGCTGGAGCTTAGATGGTGGCTAGTGGCAAGCAATTAGAGGATGTGACGACGCCGGCGACCCCAAAACAGAGCCCCGAGGCTTGATTTCAGTGGTGGTTCAAAATCAGGCGGCGACGTCGAGCCCTCCAACAGCGGTAGTGACAATCGGCGAATTGCAATGAAGGCCTGAGTGGCTTCCACGAAGACAAAGGTAGCTAGTCTCATCGTGGTGCGGCTCAGACTGTGTCCTAAGGCTAGATCTCAGTGGCAATTTACTCGAGAAATGAATGATTTGAAAAATATTTTCTTGAAAGTGATTTCTTTTATCGGTCACAAAAAAAACGAAATAAAAATATTTTCATCGTCCATGAAAATGTATAAATATGAATTATTGTCGATGATAAAAATATTTTTCATTAACTAATTATTTCAAGAGATATAAGTGATCATTTTTCAAAAAATATTTTCTAAATCATTCATTTTTCGCGAAATAAACGGAGCTTAAAAGTAAGACTTGATTTTTGCGACTCGACTCAATTGCACAAACTTCTTTTTGGCTTTTGATCAGTTTTTTTTTGTGGTACCCGATTTTTGAACCATTTCCACACGAGTCCCAATTGAACTGCGTAGATAACTTGGAACCAATCGAACAAATCGAACCGACCGATCCAATTTGGGGATCACTATCGACATGCGAAGAGATGGGAGGTTGGAGTCAATCTGGGTCCATGACGTACAATTCCAAGGCCCCGGTAAGTTTGGCTATAGGTAATGATATATCTTTACCCATTTCAGGGGTTAATTCCAAAAAAAAACACCAACTTTAGGTCGAGGGACAATTTTGGTCCAAACTTTTTTTTGTTCCATAAAAAAAACATCAACTTTAGGTCGAGGGACAATTATGGCCCGAACTTTTTTTTGTCCCATAAAAAAGCACCAACTTTAGGTAAATGGACAATTCTGGCTCGAACTTTTTTTTGTCTCGTAAAAAAGCACCAGCTTTCACTTAAATCTCAAATCTGACCCTTATTGACTTAAAACTATTGATTTTCTAACTTGACTATTCCACCTTAGCAATAAATCCATGTGACTTGCTGACTGGATTTGAAGCATTATTCATTGTCTTATTCTCCACAGCTTGAAGAATAACGGTGAAATTATTCGTCTCCTTCACTTCACCGGCAAGTCAAAAATATCTCCAGATTGAATCTTTCTGGCCAAACTTCGTCGTTTTGTCGTAATCCGAAGCTGTAGATCACCGCCTGTCGACAAACGCCATGGAAGAGATTCGCAAGGCTCACCACCATAACTTTTTTTCTCAAACAATGGTAACTTCAGATAGAAAGTCAATGAGGGACCAAATTTGGGATTTAAATGAAAGTTTGTGCTTTTTTACGAGACAAAAAAAAGTTCGAGCCATAATTGTCCCTTGACTTAAAATTGGTGCTTTTTTATGAGAGAATTATCCCTCGACCTAAACTTACGGGGGCCTTGGAATCCGGGTCCCTGACATACAATTCCAAGGCCCGGTAAGTTTGGCTATAGGTAATGATATATCTTTACCCATTTCGGCAATAGCAGATCAAATTGCATCCCGAAAAGGATCGATCGACACTTCAACTCAACTCACCCGTATAACTCACATGAATCAAATCACGAGATAAAAGACACCTCCGCTCAACATCCAATTCAGGGGCCTCTGCATGGCCGCCGTGGGAGCACAGCACAGCCACGGCAAGCTCCGTCCCCCCGTCGGCAAGACAGAGAGAGGGAGGGGGGTTGGCCCGAAAAACAAGCAGCTGTTCCTCGTCAGTGCAACGTGCATCGTCTGAAACCACCACCCCCAACGCATCGTCACGAGGGAAGAAGCGAGTCGTCGTCGTCGTCGGGGGGTTTCATCATCGATTGAAGGCGGGGAAGCTTTTTCATTTCTGGCGGATGATTTGGGGAAAGCGTGATTGAGGTTGGTCGAAGGGAAAGCTCATCAGCCCACCCAACGTCGTGATCAAATGACATTAAAGTGCAAAAGTGCTTCGAAGCGGAAGCAGCAGAGAGACCTTCCCGACATGGAAAGCGCCATCTTCGACCCACCAAAAAACAAAAGAAAAAAAAGGGGACTTGGAAAGCGCCATTGCCAGAAACAGAGGAGTAGTGGAGTGTAGTGTGGAGGCGTTTATCCCTTTTTTCTCTGCGCTTTTTCGGGGGATGGGATGGGATTCATCGAAGGACCTGTTGCTTTAACGTGAGCAGCGCCCGATCTGAGCCGTCCAGTCTCGCATAAAGTACAGCCCTTGACCCCCCAAATCCAAATCTCACTCCTTCTCTGTCTCTCTCTCTCTCTGTCTTTCGTTCCCGGAGATCTGAGCTGAGCTGAGCTAGAGGGGACGAGAGGTATGTCGTCTCCGAATCCGCTCTCTCTCTTCTGCGCCCTGCTTCTCTGCTTGCCCCTGGCCGTCGTCTTCATCCTCAACACCGCCCCCACCACCCCCACCACCACCTCCTCCTCCGCCGCCGCGGGCTGCGGCGGCGGCGGCGGCCCCGTGTCGATACCGGCAATCCCCTTGCTGGATGCCCGATTCGACATTAGGGCCAACCATGAAGCCAGGTTCTTGGAATCGAGAGTCCCAGTAGACGAACCCCCGCCGCCGCCCGTGATCGCAGGCGCCAAGGAAGACGCCTCTCGCCGCCCGCCGCCAGCGCCGGTCAGTGACGACGATGCGGAGGACGAGGAGCTCTTCCGGGACAGCAGCGCCTCGTACCCGCCGCCGGCGCCGGTCAGTTACGACGACGCGGAGGACGAGGCGCTCTTCCGGGTGGCGTCCAAGGTCAGCCCGAAGCCCAAGCGGCCCAAGAAGCTGGCCTTCATGTTCCTGACCACAGCGGGCCTCCCCTTCGCTCCGCTGTGGGAGGCCTACTTCAACAACACCCCGGGAGGCCTCTACAACATCTACGTCCACGCCGACCCGACCCGACTGCCCGGCCCGCGCCTCACCGGCGTGTTCTCCGGCCGGGCCATCCCGTCCAAGCCGTCCCGCCGGCACACCCCGACGCTCATCTCGGCGGCGCGCCGGCTTCTCGCCCGCGCGCTCCTCCACGACCCGGGCAACGCCATGTTCGCCCTCCTCTCCCCGTCCTGCGTGCCGCTCCGCTCCTTCAACTTCACCTACCGGACCCTGGCCGCGTCGCGGAGGAGCTTCATCGAGATCCTCAAGGACGAGGAGGGGCGGTACGACCGGTGGGCGGCGCGCGGGCCCGACGCGATGCTCCCGGAGGTGCCCCTCGCGGACTTCCGGATCGGGTCCCAGTTCTGGGCGCTGACGCGGCGGCACGCCCGCCTGGCGGTGGCGGACACCCGCCTCTGGTCCAAGTTCAAGCACCCCTGCCTACACCGCCGCACGTGCTACCCGGAGGAGCACTACTTCCCCACCCTCCTCGGCATGCGGGACCCGCGCGGGTGCGTGCCGTGCACGCTGACCCACGTGGACTGGCACGGCCGGACCGACGGGCACCCCCGGACCTACGGGGCGGAGGAGGTGGGCCCGGAGCTGATCCGCCGGCTCCGGGGCGAGCGGCCCAGGTACGGCGACGACGGGGCCAACGGCACCGGCCTGCTCGCCGCCCGACCGAGGAGCGACCCGTTCCTCTTCGCGCGGAAGTTCGACCCGGGGTCGTCGCGGGCGCTGATGGGCATGGCGGAGGACGTCCTCTTCGAAGACTAGGATGGCATCTTGGTGGTGAATGTCTCGTTCTTTTAGTGGGGTGGGGGGGCGATAACTGTATAGAGATCGGGCAAGCCTTTTTTCCGCGTCGTTTTGTTTTTAAGTCCAAAGGGACGATGATGATGATGATGAGTCGTGAAGTGTACATCTGTTTCTGCTTTAAATCCAAGATTTGGCGGAGAAGTTCTTTCTTTCATTTTGGGTTTTCTGCAAAATCAAGAAAAGAGCAGTGTTGACTTTGCGGCTGTGCTGTCTGTGTTTGTCCTCTGGAGGTTTGACGGTGCGGCGGAGCCGAAGTGATGGTAGCCTCCGCCGGTGCGTGGTTGACGACGACCGGAACTCTCCAAAGCCCACCGTACGATCTGGTCCAACCCGCCTGTAAAATATATGGTCTCTCGTCTCCAACATCGAATTCGATGTCATCAAGGTCGAAGGACTTGGTTAGGTCAACCACCGTCGTTGACATTCAGGTCAATTATGACTCGACAACCTCAAAACTCATGACGAGAGAGAGAGAGAGAGAGATTTTAGTTAGCGTTTCATGATCGGCCCAAATCCCGTTTGGAGAGGATAAGGTTCATTACGTGCCGCCGCATGTTCTTAATTCTACGACCTCAGATATGTGCATGTTCGTTCATCCAACTCAACTTGACTTGATTAAGTGTCGATTTCAATTCCACCTTACAATAGTGTAACCAGGACTAATGGTTCGCTACTTACTTTTACACAATTGATACTTGTTTTAGGCTTAATCACTCCATGTTAACCTTAAAGTGGTTGACAGTGAAGCATTGGACCGACACAACGATCGGACGCCTAAACATCCAGAGTCACTTGGACCGGCTGGCTCTACTTCACTTTCTTGTCACCATCTCCCCACGCCGGTCCGCCGTCACGTCGACTTAAAGTTTCGCGTGAAATTCCCTCCACGATACCCCCTTATCTTCAAAGTGCTTTTGAGGAGAACCTTTTCTTAGGGGGGGGGTTCCTAAACACAGCAGAAAGCAACCGGTAAAGTTGCCAAGGAAATGACACATGCCCATAAATGAAACTATTCTGGTATGTGGTGTCTCCACTAAGAAGAAGAATCTAGCACCTACGAAGCATCATTTCGTGTTGAACTCAAGTGCAATTTGCCTAACCAGTGAAGCTTCTTTTAGTTCATCATCATTCACTTATCGATGATGTTAAGAGGATCCATACGAACTTGTCTATTTAAGTATGATATATATACACAGTGGTCATCCTCGTTTAATGCCTGAGTACCCGGATCCAGAGTGAAAGATTGGGAACCCATGAGCTTTTTGAGGGCAAATCGACTTGGTTTGCCCGATAAGTAAGGGATGTTAACGGTTCGGTTCGGTTCGATTTTTCAAGAAAACTGAACCGAACCGAACTGTTGGAGTGCATGCTTGAACCGAACCGAATGTCGACCCAAACCGAATATAAACCGAACCAAAAAACCGGTTCGGTTCGGTTCGGTTTAGTTCGGTTTTTGGTTTTTTCTTCTTTTTTCTTCTTTTTATTTTTTGGCTTTTATCCTCCACAGCCCACGGAGATATTCAAATCAAATGACTGCAATAACAAGAACAAAACCAAAATCACGCACGAAGAAACAAAAAAGCAAAACAACGCATCTCCAAATCGAATTGAAGCTGAGCGCAAAAATGCAAATCCGACAGATTGAGCCCTCCCGGATCCAAATCGGCAAAGCCGGAAGGAAATCGAAAGCCAGGCTCGCCCCATTTGGACGAGAACAGAGGGAGCGGCTCCGATCTGCGGGGGGCGGAGGAGGTGAACGCCGCCGGCACAGACGCCACCAAGGTGCACGGAGCCTTCACCCTGCTCGCCATCTCTCTCTAACCGTACGCTAGAAGATGGACCAAACCGGACGAGCGCCGCCAGATCCAACCCGAAGCTTGCCTCTCTTCTGTTCCTCCTCTGTATCTTCTGACCCGGAGCTCGTCGGAAGAGGACCATCCACGTGGCACCGCGTCTTCCGGCTAGCTCTGCATGAGCACGTCTCTCCACTCTCTCTTCAATGGCGGAAATCCAAACGGGCACCAAGGACTCACGATATTTTTTAGAGGAGTGAGAAAGAAAGAGAGTCGAGACGAAGATTAGGGCAAAAAAGAAATTATTTTTTTCAGTTCGGTTCGAACCGAATTGAACCGAAATAAAACCGAACCGACAAAAAAGTTAATGGTTATTTTTATTACCTGAACCGAAAACCGAACCGAACCGAAATGCACGAAATTTTCGGTTCGGTTCGGTTTGTATTTTGGTTCAATTTTTCGATTAAGTTCTGACGCCCCTACCAATAAGCACTTACAAAGATGGAGACCACTCAGCCATTGCAGAGATATTGTCGCGATTTTAGTGACCCTATCGATTCACAGAGACAAACCAGGTCGACGCCGCCAATTAGACTAGTCGATATGATCCGGAAACCACGCATCAAGGAGCGGAGGTCACGAGAGTCACAGGAATATGCACCAGAGTGCACAACCAGGAGACATTGCCCGACCTTGGTAGGCAAAAAACCAAGACTCTAAAAGCATCAGACAAGGGGTTAAGTCCAAAAGGATATTTGCAGCAAGAGGGTTCTTGATTAGCTAAAAAACGAAAAATCATTCAAAGTCAGGAGACCAATGGCTAAAGTCCCAAAGCCATTCAAATCAATCATAGGAAGTCCTTTTCAGTTGTCTGAGTAATTTTCTCCTTTCTTCGCATTTTGCAGTAGTCTATGGACCATCTGTTGTCGTCGTTGTCTCCTTGACTTCTAATCCAATCTCTATTGATCTTATCCATTTCAGTTGTTTAATCATTCTGTCCTCGTCAAGTCAATTTCTGGGCTCGGAGCTGGAGTTGTCCAGCCAAACCAGTCAAAATTGGACCCAAGGTTTAACCTTTTAGGGAGATGAGTTGTACATCTGTCCCAAGCTTATACTATAAGCCTTTTCATGACCATCAGAAATCTTGACACTCATCACCAAAACCCTTAAGCCAAGATCATCTTTAGCAGAGGGAGTTTTATCCAAGATTAAAATCAAGACATTAAATCAGTAAGAAATAATCAACAAAGCAAATAAGCTGCGGACAATTCCAAGTGACACAAGAAACAGAAACCAAAGCAGCAAAAACAAAAATCTAGATTGAAGAACTGAACACTCTGGAAACAATTCCATGCATACTCATGACGGGGAGCGTTTGACTGGTTTCGGTAGTCAGTCTACTTTTACACATGAAACAACAAAGCATGAAGTTACTACACGATGACAAATTAGTTCTGGTTATACTAGCATTGACTGCACAAGAGGGCCAGAGTTCATGGAAATTCTAATATTACAAGAAGCACAAACAGGTGCGGGATCCCCCCGGATGTCAGCATCCGGCAATCTTCATCAAAATGAATACTCTCTCGGTTCATTCTTCCCTCTTCCAATTCCCGTGCACCAGAAGTATAAAAAGGATCATAACATAACATACAACTAAATACATAACTCGATAACAAAGCAAAAAAAGAGTTGTATAGGTATAGGCAAGTAACATCAATAAGGAGAATGATAGTACCCAGTCGGCGGCCCCATTCCATTAACTGGTGGCATGCCATAAGGCATTGTAGGAAGAGGACCTTGTGCATAGTAACCCGCCCCACTGATCTTGGCCAAGGTGGCTTGGCCTCGCATTCCATGCACTGCATACTGCTGCCATAGTTGCTGCTCTTGCACAAGCAAATGCTGTTTCTGCTCCATATCTGCCATCTGTACATATGAAGGAGGGGGGATGCTTAATGATGCAGCAAAAGGGTCCTGGTTAACCGTTTGGACAGTTCCGTCAGGTGCAGGGAGAGCCAGTACTGGGGTTGTGCTCTTGCCAAGACCAGGTAAAGCAACACTGCTCGCACTACCTCCACTCAATTGAGTAGTGCTCACATGTTGCCTCACCATTCCCTGGTCATACATGCCATTCAGTAGCAACGGATCAAGTCCACCACCTAAAGCTGCTTTCTGTTTTGATAAGTTACTGGCTGTCTCCACCAATGCCAACTCCCAATCTTCCTTGCCCGCTTCAGCAGCTGGGTTTTGCCAAGCAGAAGTCACTTCTGGCTCACCATTAGATCGGAATGCTTCCCATGAACCATTGCCAGTATTAGCTGGTGGCCCCGCAAACAGAGCCAATGCAAATTTATTACCTTGATCATCAGCAGTGACTCCATCATCCCTCAGATCCACCAGATCCTCTGTCACTTGCGGCTTCGGTGGCTCCGGTTCTGGCTCTGGTGGTGGTGCAGGAGTATAATTCTCTGGTGGAGGCAACGCCTTTATCTCGTTCATATCAGGCACAGGCTCCTCCTCCTGAGCCACAGGAGGCAATTCCTCTCTCCTCTCGGGGCTCTTGGGCCTCTTTGCTCTATCCCTCACAAACTCCTCCAATGTCTCCAACAACTTACTGGTAATCCTTTGCACTTCAGGATACTCGGACGATCTTGCCACTCCTGTACCCTTACACCAATTATAGAATGCAATCAACTCATCAATTTGCTTAGCAGCACTGGCATAAGCATCAAAAGCCTTGACGCAATCTTGGTACTCCATATCGAAAAACTTATCGAGCAAAACAGCCAAAACCTCACAGATATCAGCATATATCTGAAAACTCTCCTTCACAACAGGGTACAACGCAACCAAGATCAACCTACTATTCTTCGCCAGACCAGTTGGCCTACATGCCAAGAATCTATCCAATAGCCTCTGCAAGTGACCCATTTTGCCGAAAAGCCTTTCTGGCTTCATTTCCCTCAGTGGCGTCACTACCCTTCTCTCTTCTTTCCCATCTCTCACCACCACAGCATCACTCATATCCCCGTATGACCTTGACCTTCTCATCCTTCCCCCATAATTTCCATTCTCTCCTCTATAATCACCGTAATCATAATCAGACCCACGGGGTGGCGGTGACCTAAAATCATCTTTGCCTCCGTATCTATCCTCACTGCGAACACTACCACCACCATTAGCACTTCCACTAGGACCGCCGCCGCTGCCGCCGCCGCCACTGCTCTTTCTATCAAACAGAATCAGTTCAAGCCTCTGATCCAGATACATACCATAAGTCCTCACAAAAGCAGAGTGGTCCCATGAATTAGAGTGAGCCTCATCTCTAAAATCAGACAGATTCAACAGCCTAGCACCACGCCTAGTCGCATACATTATCTCCTCGTGGAAAATCGGGCCACCATCATTCAACAAACGATGGATGAGCGTCAGGGATTTGAGAGCCACGATATAATCACGTGTCTTGCTAAGTCGCTTTGAAAGCGCAGAAACACACGCATGCACGTATCCACGCGAGTACGAGGTCAAATTCAAGATTCGGCGGACATATTTCTCATCAGTAGGATCATCATCATGGCTCGTTGCCTTCACGATAGCTACTTCGAGCTCCGGCGCCATGTTGCTCGCGACCTTCGCGAGGCCGATGCTCGTCTGGTCCTTGACCGCCCCGAGGGCCTTGCGGATCGTGCTTTGAGACATCTTCGCCTCGCCCTCACCTACCAAAACCGCAAAAAAAAAAAAAAAGATCACCAAATTTACAAGCTCGCCGAGAAGCATCACTTGAGAACGACGCTTTCCGGTGATTCGTCAAGCAACGAATGAGGAAACAACCTCCAAGTAAGCTTCAATCATTACAGTCATACGACTAATCACGCGATAAATGAAGTATTCAGCTCGACCGTTGGCTTTCACTAATCTAAACCGCATACATAAGACTTAATCACTTAGCAACAAGAGATCACCATGCTCTACCATCATTAATTGCGCGATAAACGAAGTGCTGACCTCCGAGAGATTACCTTTGGAGAAAGCGTATCAGATCTGAAGAAGATGAGCTCCGGCGAGCTTGAACCGGCGGCGATCCGCGCACTTTGTCCAACGAAAATGTAGGCCGCCGAGCAAGCGCGAGCCGGATTATGAGCAGCGAACGGATCTTAAGATCAGGACCGCCGAGCACCGACTGCTCTCCGTCCTCTCCGTCCGAGAACGGAAAGGAAACAAGGCGGACTCTGCAGAAGCGTACTCAGATCCGGCGGAAACGAGCTCCGGCGGAGCCGAAGCTCCGGCGACACCGTTGACCTCGCTGGAGAAGGCGAGACCTCTCAAGCGGAGGCCGCCGGGAGCAAAGGAGGTGAGCTGGCGCGCGGTCCCCGGGGGAGGGAACGGAGTCGGCCGGGGGTCGCAAACCCGCCGGCTCCCGCTTCCCTTCGCCTTCTCGAGGCCGAGAGCGGGCGCGAGCGAGAGAGAGTGATGAGGTCGGAGATGGCGGTCGTGGCGGCGGCGGCGGCGGCGGCGGACGGCGGGGGGCCGGCGTTGATCTGGCGGGAGATCTGGACGGGAGGTGGGATTCTCGATTGCCTCTCCTCCCGGGACAAGAGGCGCTGTTTTTGTGGGCGAGAGAGGTGGGGTGGTGGGGCGTTGGGGTTTGGTATGTGCGGGTTTATGATATTTGAACGAGCGACGGGCGTGCGGTCCCCGGTGAAAGCGAAGCCTGATGGGAGGCCGGCCGTTGGATTCGAGGTGCGGCTTTTTTGAAACGGACGGTGATCTGGGATTCTGGAGGTGGTCGCGCGGCCAGGGTATCGTCGCTCCTTTCGGGGGTTAAAATGTCGGTGTTGGTATGTTGTACAGAGTACATAGCTGGAAGTGGGGGGGTGGGAGTGGAAGTAGAAGTAGAAGGTTCTTCTTTAAAAAAAAAATTTTATATTAATTAATTATTTATTTTTAAATGATTTTTCGAGCCTACCAGAAGGAAAAAGATTCGACTTTCCAATTGGAGAAGGAACGTAACTTCCCAGGGTGTGTACTTTCAAGGACATTTCTTTGTGCTGTAAGTTAGGTATTGTCCTGGTAAAATTAAACTGATTAGGGCCCTGTTTAGTTCAGTATTTGAAACGAGCGTTGGGACTCTAAAGTTTCTTTACCAAATACAAATGGCGTTTGGCAATTTTTTTTGGAGCACTTTGAGGAAATGCGATTACATTTCCGAAGGCCTCTAAAGTCTCTTAGCCCAAGGCAGGTCTAGAGGCACTTTGGCAAGTTGCATTTCCGGAATGCTAGTAGCACTGTTCATGGACTGTTCATCTTCCCCGAGGATCTAGTCCAGAGGCTGGCGACAGCCTCCTAAGGGGTCGCGCGACCCCTCAGACTGCTAAGTCACGCGACCTCAGGCCGCCTCGCTTGAGGTCACGTGACCCAAGTAAGCGTTGGCCTGGGTCGCTGGACCCCAAGCGAGGCTGGCCATTGGCGGTTGTCCGGCGGCCGTTTTGGCCTACCGGTGGCTGAGATCTACCTTGAATTTTTTTTTTAAATATTAGCAAAATCCTTTACAAAATTAGTTTTTGCCAAATGGTATTTAGATCAAAGTTGCTTTCAAATGTAATTTTAAAATACACATTACCAAACACTACTTACATTTTGGAAATCCTTTAACCCAAACACTTTTACATTTTGCCAAAGACGTTCCCCCAAAGTCGAACCAAAACAGGCCCTAGCTTGAGGTGATGGAATCCAAGACGGCAGGCTCGATGCCGGCGGTGGGCAGCCGAAATTCGAACTCTGCTCGGAATTCTAAACAAAACCCGAGTTCGTTTTGAACTTCAGTTGGGTTATAACACGGTCATTTTACTTTCATGCGAAATTTAAAGCCGTTTGATCTAGGGGTGTGCAAAAGAACTGGGACCAGCCTGGGACCGGGCCGGAACCGATCCGGTTCCCGGTGTGGAACCATCCACCCCCCCACCCAGACCGGACCGATAATATAATAATAATATATTTATTTTTTTAATTTTTAATTAAAAAATATGACCAAAAAAAAGAAAAAAGAAAAGAAAATAGGAGAGTTGTTGTTTTGTTTGCTTGCTAACTATTGTGAACTTGTGGCAAACTCTCACGTGTGATATATAATATAGGCTACGGATGTATTTGATGTGAAGCTTGTGAAGTTGTGAACTTTGTGACGAATCTTATTGTGATGTGTAATTGAACTTTGTGGGAAATCTTGTTGTCATTGTTTCTAAGGGTTTTAAGCTCATTCAATTTGTTAGCTTAAATGAGAGCCTCTTGACTCTTGAGGCTTGAGCAGGTTGTGTAGAAGTTTGGAAAGTTGTAGAGGGCAGTTCTGCATCAGACCATTTTAGATGGAAGTGCATGACTTCTGCATCAGACTAGTGAAATCAAATGCCAAAGTAGGGGTATTCTGTGTACACTGAAGATACATCACACATGCGCATTAAGGTAAGTTAAAATAGCATGTGATAAACACAACCCACCAACGGGTAAGAATTAGACTAGTCTATTTTTTTATTTGTCCAGGAAAACTTAGTGGGACTGGTTCCATGGACCCACCCGGGAATCAGACCGGACCAGCGATCCAGTTCTCGGATGGGTCCATAGAACCGATGGGTGGTTCTCGGTTTCAATTTTTTGGAATCGGTCCTTAGCAGATGATCCACGGTTTCGGGGTGGGAACTGCCCACCCGGCCCATGCTCACTCCTAGTTTGATCTGCCTTCTTTTTTTTTTTTTCCGTTTGGAATGGCCATTGTACTCGCCCTTCTAGTGATAGGATTTCAACGACATGAGCTCGACGCCATTGAGAATTGTTTTCGCTACTTTCGAAATGCTTTCGCGTGCAAGAAAATCGAATGCTTTTTCCGCCGAAATCAAGTAAGTCCTTCCTTCTCTATACTTCTCGAAGACATCTTCAGACTTCAAAATCCCCCAACCCCGATCCTCGTACGAGCTCAAGCTCAAGCTCTTAGAGAATCACGGCAACGGACAATAATAGGCCATTCTCGCGAGAAACAGAAGTATCATGTTACGAAGGGTTAATACCATGAAAAACTTTAAATTAGTACATATGTAATAATTTTACCCCAAATTAATTTTTTGACCACGAAAAACCCTAAACTGGTATATCTGTGACAAATTTATCCCAAACTAATTTTTTGACCGTAAAAAATCCCGAACTGGTACATTTGTAACAAATTTACCCTCCGTTAGTTTCCATTAAATTGAATTAATACCACAAAAAATCATAAACTGGCACGCATGTGACAAACGGAAGGTAAAACATAAAATTGGTACATCCGTCAATTGCATAGTGTCATTTAACAAAGCAATTTGACAGTAAAATTTAGTAATTTACCATAAATAAACTGAAGGTAAATTTGTTACAAGTGTAACAGTTTAGGATTTTTTATGGTCAAAAAAATTAATTTTGGGTAAAATTATCACAGGAATACCAGTTTGGGGTTTTTTGCGGTATTAACCCTATTACGAATGGCAACTTTTCTCCCACATGGTTACACATGTATTGAAATATCTCGCATCGCTTGATAACGGAGTTTATATATATTTTTATATACACGCGATCTCCCCGCCTATATAATTAAAAGCTTAATACACCCTAAATTTACGCGTTCTCTATTACCGACAGCGATAATACATCATGTCTCGTCATATGAACATCACAGCTTTCAACTTTTTGGGACACCTCGTGCTATAGTTGACCTATATGAAAATATATATTGATTAGGTATTAGGTGACATCTGATTTGGTCGATTGGAGTTACCTTGGTGGATGAACTTCACCTACTTAGTTGGACCTAAGTCGCTTGTCCGTTAATCGAACTTGACTTCACTATTGTCGTCCTTAGTTTTTTTGTAAATCTTGAGAACCGGCGGTTCTTATATTATCGCATTCGAATTTTTAATTATTTTTTTCTCAATTGATGACGGTAAAATAAGACGCGAGTATCACGAGCTCTCTTTGTCGCGATGTCGCTGTCGCCGTCGTGTGAGGATCAAAGTACAATCTAGGTCTTCTAACTTTTCGTTGTTTATGTATTTTGGTCACATGACTTCTTCTTCTTGTCCCGTCGCGATTTTCCTTTTTCGAATTTATGCACTCGGGTCCTTTGTCGATACTCATGGGTTTTGAGAATCTGACTTTTTAATTTTCTCTTTCCATATGTATGCGCACGAGTTCTTTAATCGCGTCTATAATTTCTAATTATTAACTAATAATTAAAATATCGTGTAATAAGTCAAACTTGCAAAATCTTTTAAATGCCAATTATTTTTCCATTTTATTTACCTCTAGAAACATAGTCACATAGATCTAGCGGAAAACTCAATCTCAATAGACACCAGTAGAAATTTGGGACAAGTGCACTGAAAATCCTAAAACTTGTTACAACAGTGCAATTGAGTCCTAAAACTTTCAAAAAATACAATCGAGTCCTAAAACTTATCTCGAAAGTACAATCGAGTCCTAAAATTTTCAAAAAGTACAATCAAATCATAAAACTTGTCAAGAAAGTGTAATCAAGTCCTAAAACTTTCAAAAAATGCAATCAACGGAAGAACTTGATTGGACCAATTTGCCAAAATTTAGGACTTGATTACACTTTTCGAAAGTTTTAGGACTCAATTACACTTTCGTGAAACGTTTTAGTATTTAATTTGCACTTTTTGAAAGTTTTAAGACTTAAGTGTATTTTTTAGATAAATTTTAGGACTTACGGTACACTTATCTCTGGAAATTTTAATATCTCTCACAGAAAATAAACTGATCGGAGTAGGAAAGTCCACGTGTCGTCCAGCCTCACGATAGCTGGAAAGACAGTGCACGCAACATTTCAAGAAAATTATCAAGAATCTCTTATATATATTTAATGACTATAGCTACATATGTTATATCTTAATGGTCCCAACTTTAGTACCGATTCTTTAATTTTGTTCTTGACCCCCCCCCCCCCCATCAATAATCACGTCCCCGTAAAGTCCCATTAAAGCACGATTCTTTTACTTAATAGTGGAAGAATTAAAGTGAAATAAAATGTTAGTGGGAGGACCAAAGCCATTATTAAGTAAAGAATTCCCCCAAATTGCCTTTTTGGATGTCCAATCTTGAACATTGTTAGGCATCTAGCATGCTATCGATCTAGCATTGGGGGAATTTTGATGTCTCCAATAAAGAAGAAAAGGGCATCTATGAGACCTTGATTTGAATGGAATCCAAGGCAATTTAAGTTAGTAGTGATTCCTTTTGGTAGCTTGGTATCATCCACGACGGGAAAAGTATCAAAAAAAAAAAAAAGGTTATAAACATATTGTATCGGTACCAATTCAGTTCTAAATATTTCGGTTGAATCAATTTAATCATTAACATTTTCACGTTGATATCAATTCAGTTAATCCGGCCAATTTAGATTGGAAATTGCTGAGATGAACATCGACCATCCTATGTGACATGACCAAAACTGACATTGACATTTTTAATAATATTTTTAAATATTTTTTGTTTTTTCTTTTCTTTTTATTATTCTTTTTTTCCTTCATTTTGGTTGGCGAAGTTCGTGGCCATTGGGCGTAGGCCAGCAAACCCTCGCCGACCGTGGGCGAGGTGGCCCTTGCCTAGATTTGGAAAGGGTCTTAGCGGCCACACGAACCAAAATGAAGGGAAAAAAGGAAAGAAAAAAGAAAATAAAAAATTATAAAGAATTCAAGAAGTTATTAAAATATTATTTAAAAAGTCCACGTCAGTACCGTCTATGTCACGTAAGACAGCCGGCGTTCAAAGTTATTAAGATATAATTTTTTGGTACATTTTTTCACCACAATTATTGGTGATGTAGAGAGACTCCACATTAAACCATTGGACTTACATTTGACATGATAAAAAGCTAAAATTAGAGTCAGCATAATGTTTTTCCTAGTATTTACTTCTAGTTTTGTTTTATAATTTATCTCTTTCGATAGCATTTCCAATTGAATTGTTGATCTTTTATCTCGAAAAAAAAGAAAAAGAAAAGTGAATCGTCAATCATCTTATTCCAAACGAGTGAACTTGGAAGGTTAAAGATAGATCCATCAAACGGGGTGAGTTAGGACAAAAATGGTCCGACCCACAAATCCAGCAACTATCAATCCCAAGAGAGATTGTATAAACTCCATCCACCGTCGCAACATTGCAACCAAGCGCACACCTCGAAACGTTGCGCAATAAGTCGCTCTATATGATATCGCATGCGCGCGAAAGAAACGGAGACCAAGACGGAGACAGAGATGGTCCTTGTAAAAAGCATAGTGATCATCAACTGACTAGTGACTAGTACATTACATTTCAAATAGAGCATACTCTTGAGGGCCCAGAGTTCACTAGTTATTGTCTCATAGGAGGCCATATACAGTCTACCATGGATGATTTTACACTTGGAAATCTTCATTCTCTATGGCAATGAACCTTAGAACCAAATCGCCTGAGATCATTTGCTCCTCTTCGGCCATCCCGTGTGGACTCGCACGTGCCCGGCCGACGCGTCCCTCGCCCACCATAGATAGAATGCCGACGAGACTATGACCAGAGCGGCCATGCATCCGAATGCTATCCCCACGATCTTCCCGATCCGCTTCTTGTCGTGATCGGATGACGTGCCGGCAACACCCCCGACTGTATTTAGAGTTTGTGTCACCAGTTTATCCACAGCTAAGGGTGATAGAGCACGGAACTGAGTAATGAAAATGCGCGAAACAAGAGACTTCCGAGACCGAACCTCGAGAGGCGTGGATCGCCGAGACGAGCGGTCCGTACGTGCTCTGAAACGGTATGCAGCAAGTGCCCTTTCCCGCCCATCGAAAGTGAATATCCAGGACTGTGTTCGTGACGTTCGCATCAAACGTCTTCACCAGGGCCCTGTTGGATCCGCCTGCTTCCTGTCGGATGTTGAAGTCTTGGAGGACACGCTCGCCCTTGATCGATCGAATCGCGGCGATCGTGCACAGATAAGTTCGAGCAATCGGATAAAGCATGAGGAGATACAAAAGTTTTGTTTTAAGTACGCCGTACCTGAATGTAGATGTCGAATACGCGCCTCCCGAGGCCTTTCCAGGACTGCAAGTCATCCTCCATCTTGATTTCCGCAAAGTGAAGCTCGACGCTGTACTGTCCGCTCTTCAGGCCGAGGCCATAGTACCGCAGCGAACTTGGCGAAACTCTGGCCGTCTTGTACAGCTCTGATTCTAGAGCCCCGGTTATTTGAGAACCCGTCTCCACTGTGTACTGAGGTCCATTGGGATTGAAGATGAAGTACCCACTGTCGCTGACGCCCCATTGGTAGTCAGAGCTTGTGTAAACCGAAGCGGCTTCGAGCAGTTCAGAGTCGTCGTTGTATTTCACGCCGGCTGCTGATGTTTCCTCCGTGCCGCCGCAGTTGATAGCAAAGGAAGCTGCAAAAATATTTCACATTCTGCTGAACTCAGGATTAATTTGATCTATACTTGCGAAAACTGCACCGCGTTTCTAAACATCCTTTTTTTTCGCCATTTTCTCGCTTCATCGAGCTCTATTATCTGTCATACATGTAGGTAAAGATCAATGCTTCGTTGGTGAAACAATGCACAACGTTCTTGAACCCAATCCTTATTTCAGAAACATATTTAACACTTTGTGTTCCGACCACTTGCCGGAGCAAAAATTTACACAGAAGTACACGAACCGGTCGGGTTTTGAAAATCAGGATGCGACAACTAGAGCAAACACTATGCAGGGGTTAAAGCAAAGACCATCCACGAAAATTTTAGGTGAACTTACTGGATTTGACTTTGTTTGCACACTCGGTACCGCCTTCGAGGCAGCTAAGCATCTCCAGTGCCTTCCTGCGTTAACCAGCAAAAGAAACTTGTCAGATATCCTTAAGAAAGATTACACCTGATCTTGCAGTGAAGGATGGTATTGCTGACTCTGTTCGATTCATGCTAATTAACGAACGGAAGGGAAACATTTAATAAGAGGATTGAACCATTCCTTCGGTGTGCTGTATAACTTCGGATTAAAATTAGCCTAAGGCCAAATCAAATCCACTTTTGCATGCTTTACGCGCTTATGACGGCATGTATCTATGGCCAATGATAAGGTATCGACATAGCAAGCTGAGGTTGCGGTAAGAATACTACCTGTCCTCCAGATTATCTGCGTTTATGGACGTCCCGACATAGTTCCTGAGAAAAAAAGAGATGATCATTCATTTTTTTATGTTTGAAAACTACGAAATTTGCAGCAACTCGAGAATGTGTTCACCTACATAGAAAAATCACTCTTCTCCACATTCCCTGGCAAATTTCCAGAAAGTGGATTGAACGACACGTCTCTGCAGTCAGAAATGCAAAATCATACGCTGGCATAAGTCCATTTGCCGCTTGAAAATATCATACTAAGCACGGTTTTATTTGGATAACCAGAGACACGTTTTACAGAATTTTCAGTTAGTTGTTTCATCAGCAATCTTAAATCCTGGACAAGCACTTACAAGGCGTTGAGGCTTTGACTGATGATATTCACAGGAAGCAACCCGGTCAAGTTGTTGTTTCCAAGAAATCTGATGTTCACGAACATTTAATAATGTACAGAAAAAGAAAGAGCTAATATACCATGGAAGAAAGGCCATCTTCTTTCGCACAAGACGTGGAGGAATTAGATAGATAACTTACAAGAATTGCAGTACAGTGAAACCTTGGAATGAATCTGGAATTTGGCCTTCCAACTTGTTGAAGCTCAAGTCCCTGATTCAAATACCTAATTGAGTACAAGAATACAGCAAGTGCACATGCGTACCGGACTTTAGCTGATTCGAAGACAAGTACTTCAGAATTTAGACAACTCACAGGTATCTCAACTTAGAAAATGTGCCAATGATTTCTGGAATTTGTCCTGATAGTTGACAACTTCTCAAAGATCTGTTGCAAAGTAAGTTAGTCCATGAATAACTACACACACCCACCCAGAAGAAAAAATAGGCACATTTCACATAAAAGAAGGATAATCTTACAGCACAGATAAACTTGTTTGATTTCTTAAGAAATCAAGAGATGAGTCCTCCCCGCCAAGATCACCAAGGATGCTGCGGCAAAATTGGCGCTATCAAATTTTGTTAGTATTGGGATTGGATGTGCTCGACATTCATAGAATGAAACTACTAGGAGTGAGAAGCTCAGTGCACATGGTAATTTTGATCATATAGTTTCGAATCTGGCTGACTCTAATTAGTTGTGTATGGATAGGCTTAATCTATGCATATCAGTGCATTATACATTCCAATCCTGGAGGGAGAGTGCTATCAATCTCAAAGGTGATTAGTGAAATTGAAATGATGGAATCACAAACAAGTGACAGTTAACAAAGTACTCGCACTAAGGAATTAGGATATTACAGAGTTTGCAAGTTAGTTAGAGCACCGAAACTGGCCGGAATGGGACCTTCAAGGGACGTGCCTTCAAATCGCCTGAGAATGATAAATATCAGTAATGTAAAAAGAAAACTCGTTCTGACAAGGGACACGTTCGAGAGCTAAAATGATGCGTACAGATCCACAAGCTCCGTAAACGTCCCGAGAAATTCAGGTAGCTTTCCAGTGAAGAGATTATCAGATGCCCAGCTGTGAAAGGATACATATGAGCAGTTAATTTAACAAACAAAATTGCCACTATTCATCGTCACCTGCTAATTCAGAAACACAATTAAATATCCCATCATCAGAGAAATACAGTGTCTTAAGGGACTTCAAATTTGCCAGATCTTGTGGAATCGGTCCACTCACTCCACTGCTATCAATGTACCTGGATTGATAACAGAAGAAAAAGTCAAATGGCCGCTAAAGAGATAATGTTTGACTAATAGAACAGCAAGATGTCCAGTATTGCTTCCGTAACGCAATTGAAGTGCCAAAAAGACTCGATCAAGATTCAAGACTCAGTCAATACACATAGTTAAGCAACATGCGTCGAAGTGGTTGATTATTGCTGTGCCTCTCGAAGCTGCTGCTTGAAGAGAAAATCATGGAAGGAAACCAAAGACAAAAACACAAAAGTGAGGCTGAAGTTGAAGTGAATCGGTGCTTACAGCTGCCCTAAGGCGGTCAGTTTTCCGAGCTCCGCCGGCAATGATCCATGAAGATTGTTAGAGCTGAAGCTTCTGCAACATTGGAAAACTTCAAAAATTGAATAACGAGTTTCTAGGAACCTCACAAGGAGATAATAAACAGCTGCTGAAATGTGCTCACAGGGAAAGCAACTTGGTCATGTTGCCGAGTTCTGGAGGCACTTGACCAGTCAAATTGTTTATGCCTAGGCTACTGTCAAGTTCCTCGAACACCAAGAAGAATCGATAAAGTTTGTTAATATGTAAGAATTATGACGTTTAAGGTTAGTGAAAACGAATTTATGAGCAGTGATGAGTATGGAGAAGTTACAGGTACTGCATGTTTGATAGCTGTTCGAATTGAGCTGGTATGGGTCCACTTAGAACATTCTGGGCCAAGTTTCTGAATCATGATCGCAAGATGAGATGATCAAATTGCAGCAACAGCAACAAAGACAAAGAGAATGCAAGAAATTTTGATCCCTCACAAGTCCATAAGCCTCTTCAGCTCAAACAATTCGCTCGGTATCGGACCCGAAATGTCCAGAGCATAGATTTTCCTGATTCAAGCACAAGCACTGATAAGAGTCAGAGGCACTAAACCAGCTGCGAAATGCCGGGGAATGGCTAACTCACAAGTGGGTAATGTGGCAGACATTGCTGGAGCAATCGCAGGCTACTCGGGGATTAGCGGTCTCCGGTGCCCACGAAGCATTTTGAGCGCAAGGATCAACTGTCAAATTCAAGTAACTCCCCAGCTTCCAGTACTCTATGATCTTTTTCAGTGCAGTCACTATTCATCAAAAAAGCCGAAAAAATGGGTAATTAACTGTAAGACTGAAACTCTATCCCCAATCCTCATGCTTCATTCTGAGTCTGGAACAGTTGACATGTGACACACAAAAAGAGAGAGACAGACAGACAGACCTTCACTGGCATTTGTTGCTTTTTGTGCAGAAACAACTTGGATCACACAAAGAACAGCCACAGACAGAGTCAACACCCCCATGACTGAGCAGAAAGCAGCACCCACCACCACCAGTAGCAGCAGCCCACACACTCATATACACAGACCCACAAGCACAGAGACAGAGAGACAGAGAGAGAAGGACAAGGCCGGCTGGAGATGGGGGTCAAATAAGCGAGTCATGCAGATTCCTTCCTGCGAAAACAACAAGAACAAGTTGGTCATTCTGAAGCTTTCTCTTTCTCTGAATATCGTATGAAAGAGAGAAAGGTCCATGCGGGTGCTAACATGTTTCTTGTTCCTTGACTGAAACCTTTGACCCCTCGAAACCAGCTAAAATAAAGCACACGATACCACATCTGTTTGTCCATATTCCTCGGCGACATTGACAGGGACAACGACTTTTCGCTACCCCCGCTCGCCAATATCAGCAGGAGAAGTGCATTATTTCAGTGGTTTTCCCCCCATTCAAAACGGAGACATCACTAGATATTTTCGGTAATAAAGAAGGTCTCGACTTGGGCTTCCCCACTAGCTGATCCCGTCAGATCCTGAGAACAATGTCATAGCTTTGACGCGTTCTTCGGGTTGAGTTCACACAGTACAAGATCAACATGGACGTCACATACGCTCGAATAATTCTCGCTCATCCATTAGTTTATCGATCTCGATGACGGAGTCGGAAAAGGGCTAGCAGTAGGTGCCGCCTCGCAACGCTCGGTGCTCGACGTAATTTTCAGTAAAGTTTCGTTTTGTAATCTGGGGAATTTCGTGCGGAGCCCGCATATCTTGCCCCTCTTGCGCTACGATGTTTGTACTCTTCTATATGATTTAATCTCGCCCCTTCGAATAATCAGCGTCCCGCCCACTTGTTAAAGCTTTCGAGTTGCAATTTAGCATGGTGTCGAGGTCCAATTCGACTAGCCGGGAATAACTCTCGGATCTTCGTTTTAATGCCCCGAGATTGAATACATGCATTTATTCTCATCTCTCGATGGCTTAAACTCTCGAGTCGAGAGTCATCAATTAATTACGGATAAGCTCTCCGGTAAAATAGTAAATAATTCGATTCGAAGTCGAGCAAGTGAGGGCATATGCGTAAATTCCATTCGTGCGGTTGACCTGCCAGAAGGGTCTTCTCCCTACGCAGGCATTGATCTCAGAGACTCGGTCGTCTATTTTTGGTGTTACACCTGGATTTTCATCACTTCAACAACGACCCTAATTAGTTTTCGGCCTTTTACATGCACTTTAGGCACATTTGGTTCAATCTTTTACCAAAAGACTATATGGGTCTATAAAGGCTCGTATTCCAAAGTTAAAAGTGTTCAATGACATAATCCCCGAAAGCCCTTTGTGCCAAAGTTAGCATTTCCAAAGTCTTTTAACTCAATGCAACTCCCGCCCGGCATTTGCATTTCGGCATTTTCGAAATGTTATTCGGGAGTCGAATGAATTTTTCTTCCTTTCTACTTTCCCTACACTAATATTTTCGTATCCCTATTTTGTCCTCGCTCTACTATTCATCGTCTCTATCCCTGATCCAAATGGATCCACCGTCGCTCCAAATTCTGGTCAAAGCGAGCCCAAAGTCGGCAATCGCGGAGGGTCGAGTGTCGCCGAGGATCGAGGGTCGACGGTCACAGGTCTACAAGGCGAGATCTGTAGGGTTGAAGTGAGATTTGGACGGTCGAAAGTCGCCAGGGGTCGCGCGAGGCTTGCCAACCGTCGCCGAGGTCGCACGACCCTCGGCGTCGCCTGACCTGGCCTTTTCGACAGTTTGATCCTCGCCATTTCTGATTGCTTTCCCTAGGTTCGCTTCCAACTATTTTTATGATTCTTGACCATTTTCCTTCTCTCTCCTTTTTTGCTTTTTTATTTATAAAATTGCTCTAAATAAGGCCATTTAGTCTAAAGCAAACAGTGTTTACAAAACACTATGCCCTGCATTTCGTAGTCGGATTGGAATAAGATAAGATAATGTGATATTAGAATTCCTTATAATATCCTTTGAATCGTAGAAAACCCCCATGGTTAGTGCAATTTATGATAGAAATATAGCTTCGCCTTATCTACAGTCATCTCCACCTGTAAGCCAAAGTCCTCGCTCAACTTCACCGCATCGGAGGAGATCCGGACACCGACAAAGATAAGCCTTTGGGTTGTCAAGGGCGTCGTGGAGCGACCTCGGGAGGTAGTGGTCGTGGCCGATCTAGTAGACAAGGCTATAGCGGCCAATGCAGAGGTGAAGGGTGGCCACAGGGGGGGCCGGACGCCGCACAGGAAGCTTGGGCGCCCCTTGACATCAAAGTCGATTGATTTGAGGGTAGCGTGGGGGCGGAGAGGAGGTGCATAGAGATCCACCAGTGGATTGCACTGGGATGGCTTCGAGTTCTTCGATGGTGATAGCCACGTGACGTATAACTTCTCCTTTTCACCCTCAGCCGTCAAAACACGATCGCGCAGTGGTCGGAAGTGAAAATCGACGGGCCGTCGTAGCCGTGGTCCCAACCCTGGTGGCCGGCGAAGCAATATTGGGTTTTTATTCGGGACTTCATCGATGCAGATGAAGTCACCATATACCAGATAGGATCATTCGTTATCCTATCCAGACTCAAATCCGAACTACCGAACGCAGCCCCGTGTCACATTTCCAATAGCCATGCAAGAGCATCGAGTAAAACCTCTCCCTAGCGCACCCTCGCAAGGCCCAAGGCCCAAAAAACCAACGCACCGAACTAATAAGGCCCAAGGACCAAGGCCCAAAGGCCCAGATAGCCGAAGCTTAACCGTCGCCCCCTCCAAAAAAAAAAAAAAAACACAGAAACCAGACAGGAACCACCTTCAAACGGAGGAGGAGGAGGCGAGAGGAAGGAAATTAGGAAAGAAAGAAAGGCAAATTTCTCTCTCTTCCTCTCTCTCTCTCTCTCTCTCTCTCTCTCTTTCTCTTTCTCGAATCTCCTCCGACACAAGCTTCCCTCCATAGCCAAACAAGCTTCGAAGCGCGAAACCCTAAGCGCCCCTCGCCACGCGCGCAATGCGTGCCCCTCTCTCCAAAGAATCCTTCCGATCCGTATAAAAATTTCCCTCCCCCCCTCCATGGGTTGATCGCGACGACGCTCGCGAGCGACCCCATTGTTCGTCCACGTTCGTTCCCCGTCCCCGTCGCGGCGGTTTCCCGTCATGTCTCGCAGCGAGATCATCGTCGGCGTCTACGGCGGCCGCGGCGGCCGCGGCTGGGAGGACGACGGCGGCGGCGGCGGCGGCGACGGCGGCGACGGCGACGGTTCTCTCCGGGGGAGGATGGTGTGCAAGCGCCGGTCGTCGGTGTCGCTGCCCTTCTCGCCGCTGGCGATGGTCGGCGGCGGCGGGGGGTTCTCCAGGAAGAGCTTCTCGTACAGCCAGCTCCCTCAGGAGCCCCTCAAGCTCTCCGTCCTCAAATTGGACGGCTCTTGCTTCGGTAATTCCCTCTCTCTCCCTCTCTTCCTTTTCGTCGCCGCGGCGGCGGCGTGTTCATTTTTCGCCCGTGGAAATCAGCTCGAAAAGGGGGCGGAGCTATTGGGCGGCGACGCAATGTGGGGCGTCGGCGGAGTTGGCGGGAGGGATTCGAAGCGATTTGAGCTGTGATCGCTGGGTTAGGCGCTAGGCGCGTTTCGAACATGAATGTCGAGCTTAGTTTGCTCTGCTCTTTAGGTTTCTCGCTATCACCTCATTGTTGCTTCGTATGGTTCTAAGAAAGGTTGCGCATTTCGTTTGAGAACATTCATGATTTAATATTGAGAGAGATGCAGGTCCAGCTTTTCTCTTGATGTGCAACTTCTCTGACATTTCTTACGTTGTCTTTTTTTTCCCTGAAGATTGCTTGAAATGTGGGGGCGGTTTGAAGATATTTGTGTTGTCAATGGCATTGTAATCAACCTAATTAACATTCGTATTGGAGTTACCGAGGACATCGATGATGTATTTACCCTTTAATGTCCCGCTGTTAATTTTTCGCTTTGTTTGGCTGCTCAGAAATTTCCATGAAATTAACCAGTTGTATGGACAACGGATAACTTCAGTAGAGGGCTTGTGAAGAAATAAGACTCAGAGGAAATGAGTTGCAGTTGATACTTGCTCTACCATCTTTACTTGCTCTACCATCTTCGTATTTCTGTGATGTCGGAAATAAGGGAAGGAGAAGGAGAGAGCTGTTCATACTCGTTGTAGATAAAATTTGGTCAATTTGATATTTGAGGAGTTCAAATACGTACTTAATTTTGGTCCACAGATATTGAAGTCATGAAAATGGCAACCGTGTTGGAGCTGAAGGAGGCAGTAGAACATGTTTTCAGTTTCATGCCGAAGAAGGGACCGGGCAAGATATCATGGTATGATATTTCTCCACGTTAAACCGAAAGAGTTCGGCATCTCACAGCTAAAAGTAGCGGTTGATTTGTTTTGATAATCGTTAGTAGTATTGTTTTCTCCTGACTGCTGCATCTATTCCCAAAACTCTCACAGATTTTGGCAGCAGCTCTTTTATATCATTTTCTGATAAAACCTTTCCTGAACATGCAATAATCATCTGCCTTTTCTCTCATCATGTTTCTTTAGAGGCCAAAATTGAATATAGTTCACATTGTCCCCTTTGATTATATTTTATTTCTAGATAATATTCAGAAAAGCCACAATTAACATAATAACTATTTCTGCTGCATCTGTTTCGTATAGGCGGCATGTGTGGGGGCAATTTTGCTTATGCTACGATGGTCAGAAGCTAGTTACAGAGACTGATTATATAATTGACTACGGCATTAAGGATGGTGATCAGGTATGCCTGGCTTCCTTCGGTTACTAAAGGATATCTGCATCCAGTCGCATGAAACGTGCTTATCAGAAATTTCATGACTGTTGGACTGTTGTGTGTAGGCATGTTCTTGGCAGCATCAATAGTTTAGTGTTCTTAGTTTAGTATAGCCCTGGTTTTTTAACGCCGTGCTTGTTAATGTTTCTCGCTATTCCATTTCGCACAAGTATCTGAAGATGGTAACAGCATTTCCTATGGTGTCCTCAAACAAGCATTAATTTCTTAATCCAATGTACTCCTTCATGCTAATTATTCTGTTCTGCTGTGTAGCTTCATTTCATCCGGCATGTCTCGGGCGTCCCAAGCTTAACCAGAAAGAAATCTAGTGTCTGGCTTGCTGCTTCCAGACAATCCAGGAGGTGAGATTTTCTGAATTTCTTTTTAGGTGTTCTACATATCCACTATCAGGAATTGAAGTCTGATCATGCTCCTGTGAAACTCGCAGAAGCATTCTGCTTATGCACTAGTTCTAAGCTTAATAAATTAGTGGTAACCGAAATTGTGGTGCCTCTGTTAGACAGCAAGTGCCCATGACATGACTCATCAATAGACATGTCAGCGATTACCTTCTTAATCCAGCCCTCAAGCACACTTCTACGATGTGCTGCATTCCATGTAATGGGTCCTTAATCTAAGCTTGAAGATTGATCGTGTATTCATGACTAGGTTCCATCTATTCATTATGTTGATATTTTGACTTATCTGAATGGGGTGATTCTTAGATCCTTATCGAGATCAAATAGCTCTGAAAAGGAAGAAGAAACTGAAGAAGGAGATATCGAGAACGGGAATCTCCCACGTGACGAAAGAGGGGAGGATTTCGGCGAGAACATTAATTCCACGGCGGCGAATTTTCTGCAGGGGTGGTTCCCCTATTCTAGATTGGCCATGATAGAAGATAGAAGAAGCGAGGGCAAGGTCACGCGCTCAAAGTGCGTCGACGCCTTTTGGAGCAGAGTGAGGACGTTACTGGTGTTCTGCAGTAGCGCACCATATAGTCAGAAGGATTCATGGAGAGATTGAAGAAACTCAAAAATGCAGCGAACCGTCTCTCCTCCGGCAGAGCCGGTCCGAGAATGGAGTACATGTCGGTCGTCGAAAGTCGAACCTGTCTTGTTTGAACAAGCCGCCCTGGCATTGAGCTTGTAATGACTCGGTGCGCAACGTCAGCATTAGATATCGTTACTGATTGATTCCGACACGAATCGATGTATTGTCCGAGTTGATTATTGATTCTCTCTTCTTCGCAATCATTTCCCCGAGCCCCTTAGTGTAACGGAATCTCTGGCTCGATCCTTCTCATTTCCATAGACGAATTTCGGAAAGCGGGTATCTCGTACTAAACCGAAGCGCGCGATCTGAAATCCATCATCATACGGAGCGAAAGATCGAGTCGCGATTATACAAAATCTCACCTCACAATGGAAGAAGAACAGAACAGATCAGAACAGGTTAGTGGTGGTGATGATATACATACTAAGAAGTGGTGTGGATTGGAACATTCTTATCGGGACACACGTGCGGGGGGCACGTGCGGAGCGGGAACTTTGGAGCCTCAGCAATTTGTGTGGCGAAGGAAGAGATAGGCCCTCCTCCAGAAATCTGCATCCTCTTCTTCTTCCCTCTTATCATCATCTCTCCCTCTCTTTCTCTCTCCAAAACGCAGTCGGCAAAGAACCGTCGCTAGAGAGGGAAAGCCTCGCCACCGCCGCCGCCGCCGCCGCCGCCGCCGCCGCCGGAATCGCAGCCATGGCCAAGATGATCGTGGCCTCCTCTTCCTCCTGCAAGACCCAAATCCCACCTCCCTTCTCCGCCTCAAAACCCAAGCAACAACCCCAAGTCACCCTCTCCGTCCCCAAGTTCAGGCTCCCGAAGCCCCTCGCCTCCCTCTCCGTGAAATCCCTGCCCCTCCTCACCGCCGCCGCCGCCGCCGCGTCCTCCGCCCTCCTGGCCCAGCCGCTGCCGGCGCTGGCGGCGGAGATCGAGAAGGCGGCGCTGTTCGACTTCAACCTGACGCTGCCCGTCATCATGGGGGAGTTCCTGCTGCTGATGTTCGCGCTGGACAAGATCTACTTCTCCCCGCTGGGGAACTTCATGGACGAGCGGGACGCGGCGATCAGGGAGAAGCTGAGCAGCGTGAAGGACACGTCTGCGGAGGTGAAGCAGCTGGAGGAGCAGGCGGCGGCGGTGATGCGGGCGGCGCGGGCGGAGATATCGGCGGCGCTGAGCAAGATGAAGAAGGAGACGCAGACGGAGCTGGAGCAGAAGCTGCTGGAGGGGCGGCGCAAGGTGGAGGCGGAGCTGCAGGAGGCGCTGGCCACCCTGGAGAGCCAGAAGGAGCAGACCATCAAGGCCCTCGACTCCCAGATCGCCGTCCTCAGCCAAGACATCGTCAACAAGGTCCTCCCCATCAAATGATTTTCACCATCTTCCGCTTTGCCCACTCTGTAGTTGAAATGGATCATCAATGCCGGAGATTCTTCGCTCTGCATCTTTGAAAGAAGAAAAAGGAAAAGACTCTTGAGAATTGGGATGGATTTGGACGCAAGAATGTCTAGAATTCTTGAATTTTCTTATGTATCCATGTAAAGAGATACTTTGCAAGTGAGTAATGTGAACCAGTTAGTGTACGCACAAGCTTTTTTTTTGTCCATTTCATGAATCTGCCCGGCACCCGGTCCCGGGTCATGATGGCTCGAACATTGGACCGGGTCGTCGGCCGGCTCGAAGGGCCAAAAAGGGCGGGCCTAGCTCGGCAAGCCATTCCTTCTTGAGCTCGGTCCAGCCGAAAACCCGTTCATAACCGTTCAGCCATTCCATCGTTGCTCGATGACGCCTTTACATCCATTGATGAATCTGCCCGGCACCCTACCGTGGTCACGATGGCTCGAACATTGGACCAGGTCGTCGGGGGCGGTCAGGGCAAAAATGGGCAGGCCTAGCTTGGCGAGCCATTCCTTCTTGGGCTTGGTCCGCCCAAACCCGCTCATACCCGATTAGCCATTATCATTGCTCGATGACGCCTTTACATCTTCAATAACGCCGTCTTTCTGTTGCGTAGTCTCCGTATTTGATTTGGTTTGCCAACTTGAAGTCATGATAAGCCATAAATGACTAGGAAACGAGCCTGCAATGTAGAGAACATTGGAACGGTACAAGTTGAGATTAAGTTACTAGTCGATCTCCGTACGCCCATTATTTCTTAAAGAAGGAATGGTTCTAAGATTTGGTGCCAAGAGATTATATATAACTAGTCCTCGATCCACCTACCTACCTTTGATCACGGCATGTTTAGTATCAAGAACTGCTCTGAGTCGGAAGAAGAAAGGGAAAGGGAAATGGAAGGAATGGAATGTGCATTTTTATTTAGGGAAATTATCGAATATCATTGTTAGTTCTTATCCAATACCACTTTCCATCCCGATTTTCAAACGGCAAAATTTTAAAAAATGACCTTGATGGGGTGCTCGCTCTCATAGTTTCTTTCGAAATACCCCCATGAGCTTCATCACTTTGACTCAATGACCCTCTTGAAATGGCTCATGCTTCTTGAAATTCCTTCCACACTTAAACTTTGTTCTCAATCATCCCCGAACTCGATCACTTTAACCTAATAAACCCCTCGATTATCCTCTCCCCGTTGAAAATAATAACCAAGCAATGCACACATATACATTTTGACCCTTTTTCCGATGACATTTAGCCCCCATAAAAGCACATTTTAATCATGCCACTCATGCGCGCATAAAAAACGATTTTTTTTTGGTATAAAGTACTTCATTTATTAAGTGTCATAATCAAAACAGAGATGTTCAATATCGAAACATAAAAGATCCCAAAGGGATTGGGGGGTTTAGTAATCCAATTAGAGGGGAGGGCATTTCTACGAAGGGTTTTGGCGATCCAATCCGCCACATGATTTGCTTCTCGCGGACATTGGACTAACGAAGTGCTTTTAAACGGAAGCCAAACTCCATTTGCAATCCTCTATAACAGCCCGGATGCGCCTTGGGCTTGGATAAGTGCCTACTATAAGCCCACGGATAAAAACACTTGAATTTGCCCGAACTTTACACATCATGAAGAAAGGGCTACAGTTCTTGAGTATAGCTTAAAGAATTGGAGATGGAAATATTTCTTATTGCGAATGGGGAGGAGAGCCGTAATGAGAACGTCGTGGGCTGAAAGCTAATCCGGCGAACTTGTCGTGGTTTGATCCGGCGAGCGACATCGGGAGGTCCTCCGAGAGTGTCGTTGAACGAGGTTGTTCAATTCGGATCGAGAGAGCCTCCGGAATGGTTCTACTTTGTCACCTTCTTCTTGGGCTAGCACCTTCTTGGCTTCTGCTGTGGTTTTAAAACAGCTTGCGATCGTAGACCTCCATGAAATCTTCTCCATAGCCATTTGGTGAAAAAAGTTTCTGATTGGATTGATCCATGAACTTCAAAACCCGCACTTCTCGAACGTGAACGTCAAAACCCGCACTTCTTGAACGTGGACACCAAAAGTGATCATGATAATCTTCTTGGCTTTGTCCACACGATCTAAGTCACTTCTCTCCATTGCAAAATTTAGGTTAGGGTTTGAAGAATTTTGCCCCAATTCCCCAATTTGGAGTTAGGGTTTGAAGAAATAAGCCCAAATTAGTTGATTTGAGGCAAACAAATGGGCCAAACAACGTCGTTTAAGCACTGTTTTCTTCACTTCATCTTGCCGGCGAGCCATGTTGAACGATTTAATGCCATGTTGAATTTTCTGGCCACACAAATCGTCAATGGCACTCAAGTGATCGAAAAAAAAAATCATAGCACTCAAATGAGTGTCATACAAAAATTATGACATTTGTCATGTTCTTATCCTGCTATAACGGAAGAATTGTAAGAATTCCTAATAAGTTGCTCTGGTGTTCGGATAAGTATTTGCAATTTAGACAATATTGCAAATAATGGCACTTGCTCGTACGTTTATGAGTATTTTTCGATTTCATAAATAGGTTCAAAATGTTAAGCTTTTCGCATAGAGAACATCTCAAAATTGTGTTATATCAGCTGGACAAAGTGTATGCTTGGACATGTATGGAATTTATCAATGGAACGAATCATAAGATAATAGGAATGCTTTAGAGAAACTAGATCGGATTCGTCGACGGCCATTTTTGGGACGGGGATGGGGACGGGCGCGGCAGCGTGTGGTGATGGTGGAGGAGGCCGGCGGGCAGGGGCTTGTGATGGGTTTGGAAATTTGGAGGCTAGGGTTTGTGCTGTATAAGTAGAGAGCTAGGATGGTGGGTTTATTTATTTTCTTTTTTTTTTGAAACGAGGACAACCTCATCATTTTACTCATGAGATTTTGTTTTAAGGATTCGAAGTAATAATCTTAAAAATAGAGAATGGAAAGTAATACCAGAGTTAATACGACGAGGGTACTTAATACATTTCCTTTTCATTACCATGCTTAGTCGTGTCGAAAAAGATAAAGACTTAGGGAGCTCGAACACATTAGAGTCATATGACAAAGCCCCAAAAAAAAAAAGTTAGAAAGAAGAATAAGTAAAGTTGCATTTGAAATTCTGTTGTGAATTATGAAGTGATTTTAATAGGAAAAATAATACAAACAGTCCCTGAACCTTGGCCCAATGTGCAATTTGGTCCCTGAACTTTTAATTTGTTCAATATAGTTCCTGAACTTCAGGCTAATGTTCAATGTGATCCCTGAACTTTTATTTTGTTCAATGTCATCCCTGAACTTTTGGTACATGTTCAATTCAGTCCCTGAACTATATGAAAATGTTCAATGTAGTCATTTCCATTAATTCAAGTTGAGGGACTACATTGAACATTTAATATAGTTCAGGGACTGAATTGAATATGTACCAAAAATTCAGGAATGACATTGAACAAAATAAAAGTTCAGGGATCACATTGAACATTAGCCTAAAGTTCAGGGACTACATTGAACAAATTAAAAGTTCAGGGATCAAATTGCATATTGGGCCAAAGTTCAGGGACTGTTTGTGTCTTTATCCCATTTTAATACATTAATTCCAATGAGAACGTCCGATCAAATCGAGGAATTTTCCGTCGAGCATAAGAAAAAGAAATAGGGGTTGGTATCGCAATTTCATGAACAAATGAGCCTTTAATCTAAATATCATACGCACCCATAGGTATAGCGGCCATTCACATATTCTGACGTGACGAATTCAATGCATCCTATTATCCTACGGTGTTAATACAACGATAATTGTATGTAATTTCCACGAGACCCGGAGAAAACCGCAATCAAAATAGGTCGTGAATGTCAGTGAGTGAAGGATTTCATCGTTCGAACGATATTCTAGGATTAGAAGGACAATTTCATAGGATCGTATTTTGTTATACCGAGCCCATCGAAGAAAGATATATTGAGATGAAAACCCATAAAATATTGGAGGGTATTCCCTCTAAAATGCAAGGGCGAATTAAGGGTGTGTGGCTTGTGAGCACGAGCACGTTAAAATAAGGAACATATCAGTGTTGGACCTAAGCATGTCCTTTTAAAGATTTTATGGAACCATTGTCAATTGTTCTAAAGTTTAAGCAGTTACATTAAGGCGTGATTTAATATTTAATTATTCTAACACTCCCTCTCACGCTTAGTCTGATCTTTTTGCCTAGTACTAAGTGTGGATATAATTAATTGGAGAGGCAAATGGGGCCTGGAAAGATTCGAACTCGGAGCCTCCAACTCTGATACCATGAAAAATTTTATGAGACGACTGCCAACTGTTCTAAAAATTTAAGCTGTTAAATTAAGACGTGGTTTAATATTTAATTATTCTAACATCCTTAAAATGCTTTATCTCGGTCCTCGTCTAGATCTTGGGATCACCGATATGTAAAATTTCCATAGAGTATTTCCTTTATCTAGGGAAGACAAAGTTACAAGAGGAATTAAGGGTGCGAGGAGTGCGGGCACTAGCACGTTAAAATAAGGAATGCAACCATGAAGCCCACTGTCCCTGTATATCAAACGGATAGGCCGAGGAAGCCCTCATAGGAGCGAAAGATCCCTTCCTTTTATGAGATTACTTCTTAACCGAATACCAAAGTTCCAAATGAAGTCCCCGATTTTTACCATACTTAAAGATGAAACTAGCTTCTTGTTCATTCTTACATTGCACGTCCTATTAAGACAAATCACAAGTCTTTTTAGGTGTTGGAATCTTGAAAGACGAAGCATCAAGTTTCGTCCTTTTTCCAGTCGCGGTGGCGCTGAAGTATCTTCATCCCCTAGAGAGTCAAACGCTTGCGAGACAAATCTCTCTATCTCCCCCCGTTGAGTACTCCGAAACGTAATCGTCCCCAACTTCGCTTCCTTCCTCCGTTGTCTTCTTTCGAACTCCAGCAACACGAGACACAAGACAGCAGAAACAAACGAACGAAACACCAGCAACATCATTCCAACTTTCGAAGGGAACTGAGGATTCATCACGGAACGTGGTTAAGTTCCTTGCACGAAGAGGAGAAGATCGAGCCGCGAATAGAGGGGAGAGACATGTTCTGTGAGCCCAAAGTCAATTCACAGGTTGATTGAGGAACAAGGCTAGATGTGAGGTCAATGATTCGAGCTGCGATTACGTATAACCATC